CTTTTCTCACCTAGAACATGGAAAATACTAACACCTACCTTGTAATATTTTTATGAGGATAAGTGATCTTAAGTGTATAGTATACTTAACAAAATGCCTGCCACGTGCTAGGCTTCTAGAAAAGTGTGCTCCGTTACCATCTCCAGTTGTTCTTCCTTAGAACACAGGGTCGATGATTCCTAACTCATCAGTATTGTTTGTTTTGTGGTCTTACTTGAGGGTTCCAATACTGAAATTTAGTTTTGCCTAGGCATTTATAAGTCTCATTTTTGACTTCTTATGTGGGTAAAGTTTAAGATCCACTCGACTTGAATTTTCTTAGAAAACGGAAAAGTTTTGTTTTGTTTTTGCAAAATTAGGGACCTTAATAAGACAGGGTGGTATAATTTTGCTAGTTGAACTTCTATGATAATCCACTATATTCCTGTAAATTTTGGTTTTAGACAGCTGTATTAGTTTGCTAGTGCTGCTACAAAAAAAACCCCCATAAACAACAATCATTTATTTCTCATAATTCTAGAGGCTGGGGGAAATCCAAGATCAAGGTGCCAGTGGGGTTGGTTTCTCCGGTGGGGCCTCTCCCCTTGGCTACATGTAGATGGCCACTTTCTCACTGTGACCTCACGTGGCTTTTTCTCTGTGCACACAGATCCCTGGTGTTTCTTCCTCCTCTTATAAGGACCCTGAGTTTGGGCCCCACCCTAATGCCCTCATTTAACCTTGATTACCTCCTTAAAAGTCCTGTCTCCAAAAACAGTCACATTGGTAGATAGGGCTTCAGCAGATGAATTTTGGGGAGAATAAATTCAGGCCATAGCAATCGCTCTCTTCTGCCTTGGTTTAGGAATGCCTGCAGCAGCAGTGGGAATATCGGGTTAGTTTGTAGGATTTTTATTTATTATCCTCCCTTTTCAGTGGTGACACAGTCTCACTTTCCTATTTTATCTTCTTTACCTCTCTTAACCACTTGTACGTCTGTAATGCAGTGGCTTTCAAACTTCTTTTGACCGTGACCTACAGACAGAAATACATTTGCCCGTGCGTAACTCTAACAAATATTCCACAAATCAGTAGCTATCCTTACAAGATGGCACGTATTCTATTTTCTATTCTACTTCATTATTTATTTGATAAAAGCTATTTTCAGATGGACTGCTTCACGTAATTTGAAAAACACTGCTGTAGTATGGTTTTAGAACTGTGGTGGGTGACATAGATTGAGGGACTTTTCCCTTTTAGTCCTTTGCGGTCACGGATGTGCAGGCGGCTTGCATTGATTTATGGTATTTGTGAAGCCCATCATAAGACTTCCCTGCAGAGGAAATTATAGTTTGGAAAATTTCCCTGCCGTTTGGCAACTTTTGTAGGAAATGGAAGGTAGTAGGGTGGAAAAGTTTCATCATATCGATTGTGTCTGCTGGGAGAGGCACATAATTATACCTTATATTCAGGAGCAGGATAGATTGTAATGAAACCTAACTGCCACTCAGCGATAGATTTTATATGTTGTGTTTTGTTTTCTTTTTAAGGTACTTTAAAAAAATTATCTTTCCCTATAATAAGCTCTTCACAGTAGATAGAATTTTTTAAAGAATAAAATTCTAGTTGTTTAATGACTTTGTTTCAAGTCTTAATTTTGGTGATGTGTTGAGGCTTAATTATTTTTTTTTCATGTTATCTAAAGTTATCAGTTGAGGAAGACAACATGTGGTTAGCTGTTAACAGTTAACTATGTTAGTCTGTGTGAGCTTTTTATTATTATTATTATTACTTATATTTTTAGAGACAGGGTCTCGCTTTGTCACCCAGGCTGGAATGCAGTGGTGTAACCATAGTTCACTGCACTCCTGGGCTCAAGCGATTCTCACACCTGAGCCTCCCCAGTACCTGCTACTATAGGAGTGCACCATCACGCCTGGCTGATGTTTCTTATTTTTTGTAGAAACAGGATTTTGAGACATTTTCCAGGCTGGTCTTGAACTCCTGGGCTCAAGCCATCCTCCCACTTCCCAAAGTGCTGGGATTATAGGGATGAGCCACTGCGTCTGCTACACCCCCCCCCCCCCCCCGTGAGCTTTAATAACAGGATAAACCAAAACCTATCACATCATTCAGAAAGATGAGATTGTAGGGAGGGAGAACTCACTCTAAGTGCAAGCACAAAGTAACTCTTTCACTGTCCAGCCATAGCAAAAACTGGACCTGAGGATTATGACAACAATACTTCAAATGTAGCTTCCTATGGAAGGACCCCAGCTTACGGTGAGGTTATAGCGAGTGATTTCGTGCCCTGGTGTGCCCTTCATTTGATATATGACCTTGGACAAATACTCGAGCCTCCCTTTCCTCCTTTGGATCACGCCTGGAACCAACTAGAACCACAAATATGAGCGCTCTCCCCTCTCTTGTTAGTTCTCATTCTTCCAACTCTTTCTTTTTTTTTTTTTTTTTAGTGAATGTGGAAGTACAGGATAACATACAGCAAAAGACTGAAGGCCAGTAAAGATACTCCCTTTATCTTTTATTCTTCATTTGTTTTTTTAGTAGTTTTCTGACTAGTTGGTTTATTGTAATGGATAATAAGGGATAAAGAAGACCTAGAAAGACAAAGGCCTTAAGGTACCAGGGAAGAGCAGGGCCCTGGGCCTCTGCAAGGTGCTGGTGCAAGATTATCGGCTTTGGAGGGACCCCGCTTAGGGATGTGCTGTGCTGCCCTCCCCAGACAAAGACGCTCTGCTGACCCACCAGATTTAGGGGGTGTTCTTGTGGCTGACACCCACATAGCTGCTGCCTGCGGGCCCCGAACAGGATAGGGAGACCTGAGCCAGAGGCAGGTGAGCCAGATGTGGACCTCAGTCATGTCAGCATGGAAGGGGTTGTCACCAGCTGAGGAGCCAAGCAGATACTCTGGGCCCCAGGTTCAGGTAGAGAAAGGTCGGAAGCTTCAAGAGAGTCATGGTGGGGAGACTGGCATTGCTTGGTTTGATGCTGTTTTAAAGTGAACTTTGCCTGTCATCAGAGGGATGGGGAGCCTGAAGGACCAGGGGTTTCCTGACACCACAGGAGCCCTCCCAGATGGAGGGGAGTAAAGAGCAGGAGGATCGTGATTCCTCGCGCCAGAGGTGGCTTCTCCTATGCACCAAGGGGGTGCTGCTTGGGCTTACTGCAGGGCAAGGAAGGTGGGACTGAGAGGCAGCCGGGCAGGGCCACTGGCCAAGTGCTTTTGGTGCGGGACTGTAGAGTCCTGGCCAACGTGTGGAGTGAGCCCTGGGGCCATTCCAGCTCTGACAAAAAGAATGGCTTTAGTGGCGACTGAAAGATATTGTTTTGGGCAATGCTGTGCCTAAAAATTGGGAGACTGCAAGGGAAATAAGTGCCGTTGTTTTTAACTCTCGTTTTTCTCCATGAAGTATTCTCTTAGATGCTTCTTTTTGTTCCTTCCTAAACGGCCCGCTCAGAACAACAGTACTAATGTAGATGATCTTCATACTCTCGGACCCCCAAATCCGCAAGTCCAGAGTGTGTCCTCTGGCACTTGCATGGGGTATTGATCAGATCTTTGAGTGAATTTATACTCGGGGAAGAGGAAGGCTGCAGTAACATACAGCAAGGAAGTTCACTTAGAACCAAATGCATATCTGGCTTCTGGGGAGGTGGAATGTGGCCCTGGTAACCTTTGAGCCTCTCACGTTGTCTGAGAGGGTTACTCTGCGCTGTCCTGTGTCAGGTAACAGCCCTTGACTTCTTTGAGGTTCGAGTGTCTCTGACTTCTGATTTTGGAAATTTGGCTGCACTGGACATGCCTGATGCACATGTACCTTTTCTTGTCCAGGACTGTGCTGGCTTCAAGTCAGTGGACTGTACTGGGTATCTGCTGTGAGCCAGGCCCTTCGCCAGGAGCTGGGCACAGTCCCTGTGTCACGATGCCCATCGTCCAATGGAGAGGACTAGAATGGATAGGACATATAGACAACTAAAATGACTAAGCTCTCTTGCTTGATGCTTTAACAATGTGGTGATTTTTAAAATTTGTCATTGAAAGAAATTAATTTACTATGTATGATTTAATGCTTTTGTGTTTCTGTTTTAACATGTATTAGAAGACCTCTTTTTATATATGCTTTTAAGAGATAATTGTCGTAAATGATAGGAAGTACAACTCTGTAAACCTGTAAATTTCCTAGGCCGTTGCTTGTTGTGTTGCAGTGATGCTGGTTGCAAGTGGCAACTCCCCAGAGCAGCCGGCAGAGCCTTTGCAGGAGGTTCTTTCCTCTGAACTTGGCCTTCCGCAGCCCTGGAGGGACCCTTGTTCCCACAGGAGAAACTATGAGGCTGTTTTGAATTGGGCTGCTACCCAGGGGTTATATAATTTAAAACGTTTCTACTGATTGAGTGGAGGTGGTGGATGTTCCATGCATTATTAGCAAGGTGGGCAGGTTGGTCACAGAAGAGTGTCAGAGGTAACATGCCTGGTTGGTTGGCCCATCTGCATGGCAGTGGGACTGGTGTTTGCAAGTGTCAGCTGTGGCAAGGGACACCACAGCTCCCATGGAGTGTGTCAAACTGTGGCCCAGGGTGTGAGAACCTAGGTGTTTTAATAACATAAACATCATGTGATATTTTGCAAATGAGTTCATATTCTAAGAATTCCTTTTTTTTTTTGAGACAGAGTCTTACTATGTTGCTTGGGCTAGAGTGCCGTGGCATCAGGCTAGCTCACAGCAACCTCAAACTCCTGGGCTCAAGTGATCCTCCTGCCTCAGCCTCCCGAGTAGCTGGGACTACAGGCATGTGCCACCACACCTGGCCAATTTTTTATATTTTTAGTAGTGATGGAGTCTCCTTTTTGCTCAGGCTGGTTTTGAACTCCTGAGCTCAAGAGATCCTCCCACCTTGGCCTCCCACAATGCTAGGATTACAGGTGTGAGCCACTGTTGCCTGCCTAGGAATTACTTTTGTTTCATTTTTTAATGTCTGTATTTTTTTCTGTTCTATTCCAGGTGCAACTTTAGAAGAAATAAACCAGCACTGGGATTGGCTGGAACAAAATCTCCTCCATACCTTGTCTGTCTTTGATAATAAAGATGACATTGCCAGTTTTGTCAAAGGGAAGGTAAAGGTAGGTCCCTTGATTTTAACATTTCTCCCCATCTTCCCATCCTTCTTAAAATTTCCTTATGCCATTTTGAACACTGTAGCATACTAACAATTTTTCTACTCTAACTGAACTTTTTGGCTTATTACACGTAAAGCCAAACGAGTTTGACTTGTCACCTGTCAAACTTTGCAGAGCCCACCCAGCAAAATATGCCTGAATTTTTTTTAAAAAATGACTTTATTCTCAGGCTTGGTTTTTGTTTACCCTTTACATAAGTGAAGGCCCTTTCTTGTGTTTGGGGGGGAGAAACATAATGTTAAGATTTATGTTTTTGTAGAGCAACACATTAGTTGACTTCTTAAATCAGTTATTCTCAACTTTTTGTAGCTGTGACATCTCGTCACAGTATTTTGTTGTACCTAGCACTTTCGTCCTGCTAAAAGTAGATGTTTATTTTAAAAATATGTACACTGAATGGCATTAAAGCCAGTTAAGTTTTGAGGTGGCCGGAGAGGAATATTTTGAGAGGTATCTGTTGATACATCCTGTGAGTTACAGTCTTATATAACTGGTCTCACTGCAAGAACAGGCTGGGCGATCAGTGCTTTAAAACCCCTACTGGGCTGGGAAAGATGGTTTCTTATTCTAAATTTAACTCTGTCATTAAATGTTTTAATGCATTAGCCTGTGGTACAGCTTTCTTCCCTTAGGGTGAAACATCCCAGACCATCAATTTTGTTTGTTTTCTTCAAAAAGCTTGGCTTTCTAACACCTCAAGTGCTATGGCTTTTAGTAAAGGCTGTCAAAGCGAAGTTTTGATTTTAGAGGAAAAAAACAGAAGCACTCTTTTCCTCTTAGGGGTTAGGCCATACTTGTGGGATCAGGTGGAAAGAAAAAAGCCTCTTAAGTCCATTCAGCTCGGCAGTGTGGCTGGTGTCCTCTTGGTGCTGTCCCCGGCCTGAGGGTCATAGGGGCACCCACGCCGTGGTGGGGGCCGCATCCAGCTCTCGGTCACCCCCTCCCTCTGGTCTGACTGACGGCGGCTCCTTGCCCTGGGTCAGATCACATTGGGGTTTAGCTACAGAAATGCCCCTTTGAGCTTATTTTCCACACCCACCCCACTCTTCTTGCTCTAATGCTGGATGGAGTGGTTCTTTGATTTGGGTGTTTCTCTTCTTAATTTGGAGGCAGGAAATTAACTTCTGCTACAAGTGTTTTAGGAAAGTTTCTGTAGAAGAGGAAAATTTTTCCTCTACCGTCCAGGTCTTCTGTGGCTGGGAGTCTGTAAATTAAACTGATAACAGATGAACAAGAGAAAAACAAACAGAGCTGTTTTAACACATGCAGCGCACATAACGTGCAGCAGAAGCTCAGCGATGAGTAACTCCAAGGGGTGGTTAGAACTTGGGCTTTTATAGCATCTCTGCAGAAGAATAAATTTTTAGAGAAGTGACAAGGCAAAGGACAAGGGGCTTAGGCTTTTGGGGTGGCAAATCGTGGGAGGGTAAATATAAGGGGGGAACTCACGGAAGCTAGGGGTCATGTTAGATTTGTTGTGTACATTCCCCTCTTTGCTGTCCCTGGACTGGGAAGAGCCTCACGAAGTCCTCTTTCTGTTACACAGTGGGGAGACACTGTCACAAATGGACATTATGTCCTGTTTTTAGGCAAATGGGCAGGCGTGTGGGGTGGGGGAGGACAGATAGCCTTTTTGGCATTGACCTTTTCTCTACTGTCTTCAGATCAGAATAATCTTTGTGCTAAAGTAGCAGTTTTCGGGCTGACGTATTCTGGTCCCTGATACTTCAAAGCTAAAATGCCTGGAAAAAAAGTTCCACGGAGGCAGGGCCAGGGAGCGAGGGGCCTGCGCCTGGGCACACACATGGCGGTTATTCTCCTTTTCTTCTGGCCAAATCCAAGGGATCTGGAAGTTGGGACTTTCCTACTCATACCCTGAACCTTTGACCGCTCTATAAAGCTTAAAAAAAAAAAAAGCAATCCCTCTGCTTCCAGCTGTGACTGTGAGCAGATACTATGGTCCATGCAGGTCAGGAGTCTGCAAGGCCACATAGCGGCTGCATCTGGAGCCACCAGATCCCGTTCTGCGGCCAAGCCTGTTTGCTCTGGAGCCTCCATAAAACCCCTTCTCGCCTCACTTCCAAAGCAAGGGGAGGACTGGACTTCCATAATATATCAGTTGTGCTTCTAAACAGTACTCACCTCTCTTCATTATAACTTTAAATAGTTCATGATGTCTTGTTAAGTACAATTTGGAAAATAGAGAAAAACATAATAAATAAAATGAAAATCACTTGAAATTTCACCAGCCTTCAGATTTCTTTTAAAAATGATTTTAAAGTAATTACTTTAATGTCAATGCCCAGATTTAATTTCAGAAATAGCTTGTATAATGCAGGGTTTGGTAGCAATCTCCCAAAAGTAGCCTTGTCTTAAGGGACATAGCCATTCATGAGACATACCTACAAAACAAAAATAAGGGAATTGTTAATAAAAATAAATAAAAGGATAGAATTATAAAGATATATATATATTTATTATTTTTTTTAAGAGATAGGGTCTTGCTATATTGCCCAGACTGGAATGCAGTGGCTATTCACAGATGAAATTATAGTGCACTACAGCCTCAAACTCCTGGGTTTTGATCCTCCTGCCTCAGCCTCCTCAGTAGCTGGAAGTTGAATTATAAATATATTTTTAAAATTGAATAGCACATGTGAGGTCTGGGGCTCTGGAGTCCTTACTTAAAAAGCTGCTCACGTGGAGGTACCAGGAAGAAATTTTCAGTGAAGAATTTTGCAGTGAGCTCCCAGAAATGGGTAATCAGAATTCTGATCTTGGCAATGAGCTGTCTGTCTCCCCTTAGGAACAAACAAGCCACAAGCTTCAATTCTAGGACCTTCTACCATCACCCAAGGTTATGAAGGGCACTAATTGTTATTTGTTGTTGGCAAAACAATTGTACATTCACATGCTGTTTCCCCGTAGACCTGAGTGCTTTGGAGGTGTTCATGACCTTGGGAACCTTGGCCACTGTCCATGGACGACTGAAAGCAGAAAGCACAGTGACCAGGCGTCCCACGGGCAGGCAGGCAGGCATTAGTTTCAAATACCAACATTTTGAACCCAATGAGGAAGACTCTTATGAGTTTTTTTCCAAAGGGTTAATGTTTAACTCAAATTTGGGTCGTTCTTCAGGGTTGATGCAGTGAGTTCACTCACTTGAGCCAGTTCCTTGATCCTCATATCCCTGTAGGGAGGATTTATAAAGTAATAATTTGTTTGAGAGCTGGCGCTTAGGAGTCAAGTGATTCGCACACAGGCTGGTACGTGGCACAGTGAGAGACTGGTTCTTGGGTTTTCCACCCTGGACTCCCATTCCTTTCTTTCCTGCCGTGGCCACATTCCTGGGCTACAGACAGGTGACATGGGTGAGCCCCTCTCAGCATCAGGCTATCTGCTGTTGAAGCAATGCCTGGGGGCCCGTGCTCACCTGTCCTTCCTGCTCCCGCCCCATCCCTTCCCTCCCTCTCTGCCTTCCCGTTGCCCGGCTCACTGAACAAGGGACTGTCCTCTTCGTGTGTGTCAGGCTCTGATTGCCGAGGAGGCAAGCAGCAGGCTCGCCGAGCAGGAAGAGGAGCCCGAGAAATTCCGAGAAGCCCTGGTGAAGTTCGAGGCCAGGTTCAACTTCCCCGAGGCAGAGAAGCTGGTTACCTACTACTCCTGCTGCTGTTGGAAGGGCAGGGTGCCCCGCCAGGGCTGGCTGTACCTCAGCATCAACCACCTCTGCTTCTACTCCTTCTTCCTGGGCAAGGAACGTAAGTGCAGCCCTTCCCGGGGTCATCTTGGGAGCGATTTGGCCCCTCACAGGTGGAGCCAGCAATTGAGATGCTCAGCGCTGCTCCCAGGAAAGGTCGTGAATGTGAAGAGTTAAACAGCAAAAGATTTAAGTAAAGGACAAAGATCGCAACAAGTGACACTTGATCAGCTATGCGTGCTGCTGCTACCAGGGGGTTTTCATTTTTCCTGTTGTCTTAAGAAACATTTCTATGTAGCTCACTTCATGTGGCCACTAAAGGGTTTTTTGTACTGTAGGTTGCTTTGAAGACACAGTGTCGTAACTGATGGCTGCGTATTTCTCAAAGAGTAGGACATATTCCTGCTTCTTAACACTGGAGGTCATTAAAAAATTCCTAGTTCTGAAGGTCGTGACTGCCCCCTGGAAAAGTGGCTGGATACACAGTTGCTTCCTAGAAGGGGAGTTGTTCATCTGGGTCCACCTGGGATTCATGCACTGATTCACCTCTCGCACATTTGTCCAGCGGCAGGAGCTGAGTTAGGCAGTGGGATTCCAAGGTGAAAGAGAAAAGCCACGAGTGTCAATGGTGTATTGAATGTTTAAAAAGCCATTCCCATCGAAACTTCTTCCAGAGCCAAATACTGTTTCACGTGCCATGCTGGGTGGTATGGATGCTGCTGCTGCTGTGTGTATGTGTGTGTGTGTGTGTGTGTGTGTGTGTGTTATGTGTATGTATATGTATATACCTGTATATATGTGTGTGTATAAACATAGACTTTTTTCCTTCCCATATTTATGTTTCCAGTTGAACCAGTGTGTGTGTGGGTGCTCCTCTTGAATGTCTGCTGTGGCTAGCTTCTGGCACATGGTGTTCCCTTCCTTTTCCGGCTCATCAGCCTCAGTTCTGATGCTCCAGGACGTACACACTATCTGCACAGCCCTTCCCCACCCTTGGAATGTGCTCTGATCTAACCTTAGCCATCCCCGTTTTCCTTCTTTCTGAAATGCTTTTCAGTGTGAACACCTGCCTTTCCTTCCTTTCCGCATGCTTAACCTGTTTGGAAACTCCTGTTCATCCTTCAAAACTCAGTACACGTTCCATCACCTCCAGGAAGCCTTCCTGGTTCCTTTATAATTTGTACCCATTTGTGTATTTCTGTGCTGGGTCCCATCAAGTAAGTGGCCATTTATTTGTTTGCATGTCCATTTTCTCTGTTTGAACAAGCTCCTTGAATGCAGGGCTCTTCACAGAGTAGATGCTTAATGAATGGCAGTTGATGGTGTAGGTGAAATGTGTGTGTGTGTGTGTATACGTAAAAGACTTTATGTGAAAACAACTAGAAGTAGCTGGAGAACCTTATTCTCAAATTTGATGTAAAAGTGTGGCTTTTAAAAATTATTATTTATTTTTTTAAATTTCTCTTTTTATACCCTGGATAAGCTAAGACTTTTTAAAATTATTAAAAGCACCGAAAACAGTGCTGTAAACAGTATTGTTTACAAAACTGAGAACAGTATTGTAAGATAAATGGAAAGAAAGAGTGAAAATAAAAACAGTTGTTCCCTACTTTGAAAAGGAAAGTGAATTATTTTCTGATACTTATTAGTGAATCTAATTAGTAAACCGAATTGTGTTAAGATGATAAGATTTGGGAAAAAATAAACGATTCCTAATATTGGATAACATTTCTCATTTTAAGTTGTTGTGTATGTCTCGTTGATAAAAACCAGCTAGTTAGATGTGAGACTCTCTGTTCTTTGTTAGCTCTGTCTGTATTGCCACCACTGGCTACTGCTGTGTTAGAAACATTTCTGAGAACAGAACACTTGTTTCTAAAATGTACTGTTTAGATTGTATTAATTTAAAAAGAGTTTCATAAAAACTGCTTGTACTCTGTCTCCCAAGACTCTGACAGCACCATTTGACACAGTTTAAACATTAAGTCCATTTCTGTAAATGGGATCATGAATAATCCTCTTTTACACTTTTTCTCCCCACAGTTTATGCCATGAATGCTGTTTTTGAAACCAGCATTTATGTAGATTCAGAAACTGTTGCATAACTGTTGAAGTCTAAATATTTTTGAGAAGGTTATACGATATTAACTTGGTATTTCAGAGTAGTAATCCCTGGAAGCTTGCAGCAGCCAACAACTTGGGAAGTTTCACTTAATTAAATCTTCTCAGAAAACTGTTAGAACATGAGCTAGGTTTGAACCAACAGCTGTCAGCAGTTCTGTGCTCTTCTTCCCTGCTCTGGTTTAAAAGGTGTTCGCATTTCCGCCTATGGAAAGCTTCGCGCAGTTGCTTCCCAGCACCCACGAGTTTGGCTCGAGTTTTATGGCCTAAGATGCATTTGCCCTTTTTCTCTTGCAGTTAAACTTGTAGTCCCTTGGGTTGATATCCAGAAATTAGAAAGGACGTCCAATGTCTTTCTGACGGATACCATCCGCATCACCACGCAGAATAAGGAGCGGGACTTCTCCATGTTTCTGAACCTGGACGAGGTGTTTAAGATCATGGAGCAGTTGGCCGACGTGACGCTCCGACGGCTGCTGGACAATGAGGTCTTTGACCTGGACCCCGCTCTGCAGGAGCCAAGCCAGATCACCAAGAGGTGAGCGCTTCAGCGCCAGAGCGTCCCTCACCGGCATGGGGTCCCAGGCCTGCACTCCACCTTCGTGTCTGTGTGCTTTTGTCGGCCTCGGTGGTACTGGGTTTCAATTTCCATTGTGGCGTAATCCACATTTTCCTATGTTGTTCATACTCACGGAGACAGAATCATTAGAAATTGATTGTTACTCATTTCCTTCATGCAGTCATCTTCGATTTCCGGATCCATTTCACCTCTTTTTCAGATGTTATTTCAAAATCGATTTTGGTAAAAAATACTTCAAAATGCAACGTGTGTAGCCTCATGATAGAAATCTGTTAAGTACTGTGCTGGGCTAGTGAACATTAGGACGTTTTGCCTGTTCATGTTAAATGACGTTGTAGAAAAAGTTTTCAGGACACCTGGACTTAATTTTTGGTGCCACTTTGTCATCAGCAATGTGCCTTTACTAAGAGGGGAAGTCAATATTCTTTATTATTCATTTGCTGCATGGGTTGTGAGGTAGTTTGAATTTTTTGTCTCACCTTAAGGAAGTTCAGACCATGGTGTTTGAGCTTGACTTTGATTTCTGGGTTCGTGTTTCGGGACTGGGTAACTGCAGCGCTAATGAAAAGCAGAAACTATTACAAAGGTATCTTTCGAAAACAAGTTACAGATAGAAGTGCTCGCTTGGCTAGATGTTTTTGATGTAGCTACAGAATCACCCACTACTAATTTGAACACTACCAGTCATTAAACAAATTTTTTTTTTATTGTGGTAAAATACACATAACATAAACTACCATTTTAACCATTTTTAAGTGCACAGTTCAGTAGCATTAAGTACATTCATATAGTTGTATCATTGCCATCCATCTCCAGAACTCTTTTTGCCTTGCAAAACAGAAACTCTGTACCCATTAAACACTATCTCCCTATTCCTCCTCTTCAGACCCTAGCAACCACCGTTCTATGTTCTTTCTCTTTGATTGTGACTATTCTAGGTCCATCATATAAGTAGAATCATATAGTATCTGTCTTTTTGAAACTGGCTTATTTCACTTAGTATAATGTCATCTGTGTCATGGCACATGTCAGAGTTTCCTTCGTTTTTTTTTTTTTTTTCCTACATTTTGGATGCTCCGATGTCTTTATTTTTTTAAGGCTGAATAATATTTCATTGTATGTACAGCCCACATTTTGCTTATCCATTCATCTGTCAATGGATAGTTGGGTTGCTTCCACCTTTTGGCAATTGTGGATAATGCCATGGTGAAAACCTGTGTACCAGTATCTCTGAGTCCTTGCTTCCAGTTCTTTTGCATGTGTACCCAGAAGTGGAATTCCTGGATCATGTGATTTTAATTTTTTAAGAACTACCAGTCATTTATTTTTTAAAAAATTCATATTATTTACCTATTTTAACATTTCTATATGCCTTCTTTTCTTTTTTTTTTTTATTTCAGCATATTATGGGGGTATAAATATTAAGATTACATATATTGCCCATGCCCCCTCTCCCCCCTGGAGTGAGAGCTTCAAGCGTGTCCATCCCTCAAACGTTGCACGTCTCACTCATTATGTACATATATACCCATCCCCTCCTCCCCCCTCCCAACCGCCCAACACCCGATAGATGTTATTCCTATATGTCCACTTAGGTGTTGATCTGTTAATACCAATTTGCTGGTGAGTACATGTGGTGCTTATTTTTCCATTCTTGAGATACTTCACTTAGTGGAATGGGTTCCAGCTCTATCCAGGAAAATACAAGAGGTTAATATGCCTTATTTTCAATTGGATTTTCTTGATACTATCCAAAGAGATGACTAAAACATAGATACTGTGCTTTTGCTTGTGAGGCAGTTTCATGCTGCAGCAGCGAGATTTCATGCCTGGCTGTCAGCGTCCCATGGGCTGGAGGGCACGCCACTAAGTTCCCTCCAAGTGCTAAGATTTAGTGTTCAGCAATAATACAAAGACAAGTCTTTTTTAAAAAATAAAAAGATACATTATTCCTTACACTGGCTGTCTCTCCTCTGTCTTCTCTGAATGTTTGGGGGAATGAGTGTCTTTCTAATTAACGGTCTGTTAATGGCAGTGTGTTTGGAGTTTTTATGTATTCAGAAAGAATTCAAAGACCCTTCCTGCTGTGTGCATTGATTTAAAACTGATCGAGTATAGTCATAGGGAAGGCAAAAATCAAAAACAAATACTCTTGATTTTTTGGGTAAAATTCCAACAAATTTAATATGGTTTTGTGTCCCTTCTGGTAATCTGACAGCTCCTTTTCGAGACAGAGAGTGAGAGGTGCTTGTTACCCCTTGTGAGGGGGCGCGGTTGAGGCACCGTCCATTGGTCCCCGACTCCGCCCCTCTCAGCCCCAGGCTTCCCGTTGCGGTCTCTAGCTCCATCTTGGGGCACCTGTTTTAAAAGGAGGACAGCCGGCTGGGCACAGTGGCTCACACCTGTAATCCTAGCACTCTGGGAGGCCGAGGTGGGCAGATTGCTCGAGGTCAGGAGTTTGAAACCAGCCTGAGCAAGACCGAGACCCCGTCTCTACTATAAATAGAAAGAAATTAATTGGCCAACTAATATACATAGAAAAAGTTAGCCGGGCATGGTGGCACATGCCTGTAGTCCCAGCTACTCGGGAGGCTGAGGCAGAAGGATCGCTTGAGCCCAGGAGTTTGAGGTTGCTGTGAGCTAGGCTGATGCACGGCACTTTAGCCTGGGCAACAAAGCGAGACTGTCTCAAAAAAAAAAAAAAAAAGGAAGACAGCCCAGTACAGCAGGTGTCATGCTCTCTGCAGAAGCTGGTGTCTGAGTCCTTTCAGTCCAGCTCACAAAGATCTGTTAGGAGTGGAAAAGCCACAGTCTCAGGAAGCCCTGAAGAAACAAGTGTGGGCTGTATGAGTTGCTGAAGGGCTCTTGTCATAGAAACCACCAGTTAAAGCTTGTGTGTGTGTGTGTGTGTGTGTGTGTGCACGCGTGCACACATGTGCAGGGACCAGTGAGTGTGTGAACTGCAGCCACGTTGTTTCAGGAGCAGGAGGCCGGCCAGTAGCCCTGTGTGTTCTCTTTGGCCTCACGGGTCTCCTGACATGCTGGCCTGGCTCCGCTTCCAGATGTGGTGGTGTTAGTTTTGGGTGGAGGTGAGGAAAGAAGAGGAAGATCGAGGGTCTGTAGCACCAGCGACCCCTGTGGTAAAATCATCTGTTTTGGAAGGAAGGCCATCAGTGTTGGCCACCTTCATTTCCATTCCGGAACTCAGGGGAATTCTGTAAGTGTGCTCTCCTTCCCTGTGTCCTTCCCTGGGAGCCATCAGAAAGAAGATGAGAGAGAAAAGGACAGAAGGGGCCCCAGTGGCAGCAGGAGGTTGAGGTTGCAGCTCAGGGGTGCCCAGGGCCAGCCCCGAGGATTCCGGCCCGCTGTGGACTGCGCGTTCCGCAGCTTCCTCCCAAAGACAAAGGCGAGCACCTACCAGCTCCCTGCTAGTTCTCATTTGTAGCTTTTGTCATGGAGACCCAGGCCTATGGGTATAAACAGGTAATGACTCAGTCAACTTGATGCCCGGCCAAGAAAGCCCAGGTTGTGAAGTTTAGGAAAACAGTCTCTTCGTGCTCAGGGCACAGAAGTGCTGGAATGCTCCTCCGGCTGTTTGCTGGTACGTTTTCACTTCCCTTCCCAGATAGCGGCTTCAGAAAGGTGCCCTTGTGGTCAAGCATGGGGCGAGGGGTCTGATTGCTACGTGTGTCGCCCCAGCAGGACTTACACGCACACAGGGCAGAGCCCCGCACCCCCATGGGGGCAGGGAATATGGGACGGCACGTTGTCGTCCCAGACTCCAGTTGGACAAGTGACAGCCGCCAGGGTGTGAAGTCCTCTGGCTCAGCCTCACTGTGCAGAGGAGGACCGGGGATTCTCAAGCGTGTGGTCACAGAGTCTGGGAGGGCGGTGGCTGAGGGCTGGGAGGGGGCTCCCTGGAGGGAGGGGAGGAGAGAGGAAATGAGTCGATTGGTCCTGAAATTTTCAAACAGAAAATATCTATCCTGAAGTTGGGAATGGCAAGGTGAAAAAAGTGTATTCAGCAATTTTTGTGTGTGTGTGTGTGGGGGGAGAGTGGTTTGGAGAGGTGACAGGCTTCACTAGATCAAATCAGAACCTGTTCGGAGTGGCTGAGGGCGCTGCAGGGGAACTCGGTTACAGCAGTGCAGTTAATGGAGATTGTTTGCCAGGACATGAGCTCTTCCTGCCTGTATGTAAAGGTGAGCGGTGGCCGCCCAAGGGCGGGTGTCCTTAGCAGAGCCCTTGTCCCCTGTGGCCTGGCTGACTCTGAATTCCCCTATCTATCTGGCTTTGCCTCCCTGCCCCCACATCCACCCCCGTCCAGCTCTTCTCCTTCTGCGCCCACTGGAAGTTGCCCAGGCTTGCCTCGTGTGATTTATTCGACTTTCCGTCCTTTTCATTCTGGCTTGAGCCCTCCTCTGCCTCAGAGTGCTCTTGGACCAACTGAGACATCTCTCAGGGGCTCCTACAGCCCTGCTAGCCACCCCCCTTGCAAGGGAAGGCCCACGTCTCACCCTCCACAGCCTGGCAGACTCTAAGCTGCTTGGCAGTTGTCAGAGGGTCAGCTCAGACGATTCTCTTGGGGTCAGGATGGGCAGCAGAGGACAGAGAAGGAGCCTTGCCTTGGGAGCGAGAGGCCTTACAGATGTTCCATGCTATTGAGAATGAGAAGCCTTGTAGGACCTGTGTTGCCAGGACCTGGCCTCTCGGGGCCTCCGTGTGAATGGGTTTCCAAAGGAGCGAGGGGACCTTCGCCCTGGCCACCTGTGGTCTGAGGGCCAGGTGGGCCCCCGCCCTGTCTGAGTGAGTGGTCCCGAGCTGCTGTGTGTCCTATGCAGACAGCCACATTGCAGTTTCACCCTGCCATTTCCCGAGGGATCCTTGGGAAGGGGGTGTCACAGAAAAAGATGTTCTGAGAGAACATACATTTGAGAAAGGAAGTGTTTTATGTGTGGACTTGGGCTTTGAGAAAAAGCACATGTGCCTGGCCCTTTTTGCCTTGTTTCCAGGGTCAAGAAATTCTTGAATCTAGAAATCTTGGCATTTCCCTGAGCTTAAAAGCACAGTTGTGAGGGAGGGCACGTCGCTAAGAGCCGCTGGGGTCCGTGTGTGCTCCTGTGCAAGGCACGCTGAGGGCAGATGGCCGAGCTTGCCCTTACACACTGAGCACGGGAGCCCGGCCACCCCCGCCTGTCACACAGCCTGAGTTTGGGGAGTGTTTGGCTTCAAAGCAGCATTAAGCCTTCTGACACGTAGTAGGTCCATATCTGTGGGCCGAGTGACCGCATGCAGTGAGAGTTGGCGTGTACCTCAGGGTTCTCCCCAAAAGCATTCTAGAAGGTTGATGAGGGAGAGGGAGAGGGAGAGAAACCTGTTTTGATACATCTTTACCTAATTGAGGAGAGGCAACTCTAATTCTGAATTTTCAGAGAAATGAAAGAACTACCTACCCTTAAATTTCTTGGATCTAAAGTCTTAGGGATAAAAATTTGAGTTTTTAAAAGGTGCACACATAAGTCTAGAATTTTCTGCATTGTTGTCATGCATGAGTGTACATATCAATTTCAGCTTCAGCAACAAACATCATGTCTGTTGCTCCATATTTGGATCAGTTTACCTTTATTCCTTGCACAGTAACAGGCTCATCAAAGGGCGGGTGCAGAGATGGGATGGCTGGTGGCACCATCCCCTGGGGGTCTCCGCCGTAGCTCTCTCAGGTCGCTGGCCTGTGCAGCCAGCACTATGGGTGCTGGAGGTGAGCACAGCTGGGGTCTGAGTCTGGCTGGTTTCCATCCTCATGGTGCCTCTCCAGCGGCTTACAGGCTTGTGTCAGCTACCACCTTCTGAGTGTCAGGCCATGAATGGAGTCTGTTGTCTTCTCTATGGAGCAAAAGTGGAGACACATAGAAAGTAATGGAAGATCTTGAAAGGCAGGCTGTGACCCACGGGCCTTTTCTCTGATGCTTTCAGAAAAAGGAGGTGGTGATATATTTAGTATCAAAACTAACACCTGCTTCCAAACAGACCTAAGGGATAGGATGGTCTTGTTCTGAACTTCATAAAGAGCTGGTTTCTCATCTGTCAAGTCACTGTATCTTCATCTCAGTTATGCTAGAAATTTAAATATCTTGTATATCGCACAAATTTAAAGGTGACATTGAAAGACAGCTTTCTAGAAGAGAGGGAGGAAAATAACTGAGCTGTTAGGAAGGTCCCTTCTGCTGCTTATTGTTTTTGTAACTTGAGGTTTCTGGTCTCCGTGCAGGAGACAGACCTCTGCATTGAAAGAGGACAGCCCAGAAAGGAGGATGAAGACTTTGTGTGTAGTATACTTGGGCTGCTTGGAAGCCACAGACAAGCCAGTTGAACCAAGCTTTTCACTGAGGCAGCAGGTGCACGGTATAGAAAAGAAACCAAACTTGTTCTTAGTCGGCCTCAGATACCTGAATTCCTTGTTCTTTCTTTGAGGGGTTGGATGCAAAATAAATGTAAATGTGAATCCTGCTACCTTTCCTGTGGCTCAGTACAAGCTTCTGTGGTTTGTGTCACGTGTTCACCTTGACCTCAACCCTCTCCTTAGGGGAAAGGGGAATGTCCTCCCAGGAAGGAAGGCCAAGAGGTGAACTCATTGGCGACTAGAACCACGTTTGTGAGATACGTGCAGGGAGAAAGCATTGACTTTACTTCCACCAGAGCCAACATGGCCAACATGCTGTGCAGACCAGGATATCTATTTTCTAATTTAAAGGCTTTGGACACAGCTCTCAGGGAACTTGGGGGTCATCTTGAGGGACCTTGTCTTCCATTCATGCAATGCGTGGACTTTCAGAGAGTTGATGGTGCTTCCCGTGTTCTCCCAGCCCCCTTTGGAAACAGTAGTCCATGCTGTATCAGGTATTTAAGGAATTACAGCTTTGGCCCACAGTAACAGGACCCATTGCATAGAATTTGTGTGATTTCTCCATGTGCCCAGAGGACGTCCCGGGCATGTGTGTATCTTTGTGAGGGCCTGATAGGAAATGCCATGAACTGTGCCCATGTTTGTGTGATAGCTGCTGCTTGGAAGATAGTTGTGTGATAGTTGGAAATGAGACCTAGCACAGAAGGGGCACGTGCCTGGAAGCCCAGCCCGGTGGGGTTCCACCGTCTCATCTGAAAAGATTGCTCAGGCTGTGTGCTGCAGGTTCAGGGTTCAGGGTTTACTATCTTGCATTTATGTAGCATTTTAAGAGTTATTCTGTTATCAGAAGAAAATAGATTACGTTTTTAAAAAGCAAATATGTGGTTATATAGAAAATTTAAGTAAAATAAAACTGGACCGTAGAAATCCCACTAAGCAAGGACAATCACTATTAACATTTTTAGGATAAAGTCTTTGTACATGTTACTTTCTGTAAATTGTAAAGAATTTATGTAAATGGAATCATATAGTAGGTGCTATTTCTAACCTTTTTTTCTTTTATAATAATGTGGACATTATTTTAGATTCACAGGGACCAGAAAAGTCAGGCATTATTTCCACTTTATAGCTGTCAAAATGAGATACAGAGAGTCTTATCCAGGGTTACAGAGTTAATAAGAAAGCCAAGGATTCCATTCTTGACTTTGGGTGAAGTGCTAATTCTGTCTTTCTATTTATAAAGAACTCTTATTTAATGTGCCATAGAAATTGTTTTTTCTTCTGTATGTTAGAATTTCCCCTCTACTAGACTTTTGGGGTCTGACTTAAATTCATCAGTGTTTTCAAACACTGCGACTTGGCTGCCTTGTTGCTTTATTGGATGTTAGAGCCAAAAATCAGGGTTTGGGGGGTCTCCCGGAGGTGGGATCCCTGCTTCCCTCTCAGCACCATTCTTTGCTGTCAATACTGACGTGAAGCTGCTGGGGCTTCTCTCCAGTGACTCTTCACTTGGATTCTTTAAAAAGTGTTTTTCAGCCTGGGCAACATAGACTGTCTCTACAAAAATTAAGAGAAATTAGCTAGGTGTGGTGGCGTGATGCTGTAGTCTCGGCTACTTGGGAGCCTGATGTTGGGAGGATTGCTTGAGCCCAGGAGTTCGAGGCAGTGAGCTGTGATCACATCACTGCGCTCCAGCCTGGGGGGCAGGGGGAGACCCTATCTCTTAAAAAAATTTTTTTTTTGTTCATAATAATGACTAATATTTATTGAGTACTTATTATATGCCAGATATGGATCTAAAAATTTTAACAGCTATTTGGATACCTAATTCACATACTATATAATTCACCCTTTCAAAGTGTAGCATTCAGTGGTTTTTACTACTGTATATTCAGAGTTGTCAACTGTCAGTACAATCCATTTTAGGACATCACGTCATTCACGAAAGAAACCCCGTACTTACGAGCAGTCGCTACCCATTTCTCCCTCTTCCCCTAGTCCCTGAGCAGTCACTAATCATTTTATGTCTGTAAATTTGCCTGTTCTGGACATGTCATATACATTGCATCAGGCAATATGTAGTCTTTTTGTGTTTGGTTTATTTTACTCCACATAATGTTTTCAGGGTTCACCTGTGGCGTAGCCATCCATCAGCACTTCATTCCTTTTTTAAGGCTGAATAACTTTCTGTTATGTGGATATACCACATTTTGTTTATCCATTTATCAGTTTATGGACGTTTGGGTTGTTTCCCCCTTTTAGTTATCATGAATAATGCTGCTTTGAACATTGGCATGCAAATTTTTTTTTTTTTAATTCTCACTGTAACTTTATTATTATACTTTTCTACAGTTGAAAATCTACCCGCATTTGGTGCATCTTTCTTTTTTTTTTGTTGTTTAAAATTTTTTTATTTTTATTTTAGCGTATTATGGGGATACAAATGTTAAGGTTGCATATATTGCCCGTACCTCCCCTCCCCCCTCGAGTACGAGCTTCAAGCGTGTCCATCCCCCAAACGTTGGCAAGCAAGTTTTTGAGTGGACACGTTTTCAGTTCTCCTGAGTATATACACCTAGAAGTGGGATTTCTCGGTCAAGTGGTAAGACCGCTTTTAGCCTTCTGAGGTACTGAGAGACTGTTTTGCGACGAGATTGCATCACGTGCCATTCCCACCCGCAGCGTCTGAAGCTTCCACTTTCCCCACAGCCTCGCCACCCCTTGTTCTCGCTGGACTTCTTGATACTCGGACTCTCTTACGCAGTTACTTTTGTGGGAATTCTCGGTGCTACTCACACCGGGAGGGAAGGCTTGTTTTGGTCCGTGAGTTCATTAAACTCCGTCCGTGCAGAGGCAGCTCGTTCTGCCCTTGTGCTTGTCCCGGGGGCGGCCGCGCAGCCCGAGGGCGTGAAGGTCGCGCGGCCCCGGAGGCGCGCGCCTGCTTTCTGCATTCTCCTCAGTGCGTATGAGGGCGTGCCAGTGGATCGAAAAGTGTTTTCCTTCGTGATCCCAGGTGCCCATTCACCTCTCCTGCCTCTTCTTCTCCTCCTCCTTCCCCAGGGACCTTGAAGCCAGAGCGCAGAATGAGTTCTTCCGGGCTTTCTTCAGGTTGCCGAGGCAGGAGCAGCTGCACGCGGTGGTGGACTGCTCCCTCTGGACGCCGTTCAGCCGCTGCCACACCGCGGGGCGGATGTTCTCCTCCGACAGCTACATCTGCTTCGCCAGCAGAGAGGACGGCTGCTGTAAGGTCGTCCTGCCGCTCAGAGAGGTAGACGCCGCCCTCCGGGGTGCTTCCGGCCGCAGCCTGTCGTCCTTTGAGCCCACAGCTGCTGGCTGGCAGATGCAGCATGGGAGGGGGCGTTCGGGCCGCACATGGCTTTGCCGCCTAAACATGGGCGACTAGATGGCTGGGCTTCTCGAGGGCAAGCGCGGCCGGGACTGGACCACTACCCATCCGGCCGGTTGCTTGTCCTGTTGTTGCTATGGCAACTCGAAATCTGCCTAGAAGTGACTGGTGGAAACGGGGTCCTCTACCCCCACCACGTTATCGATAAAGCGGTTATTAAAAAGTGCAGGCCTAGAAATGAAAGCTTTCCCAGCAGCTCTTGGAAATGAATCCTCCCCTTTCACCTACCAAAAAAAAAAAAAAGAAAGAAAGAAAGAAAAAAAAAGGCGATCTACAAAAAGCACCACCTTTTGAAAATAAATGATAAATTGCTTGGCTTTTATAGTCTCTTAGAACTTCAGTTAAACATTTTAAAATACTTTCTCTAATATGGCTCAGATCCCTTCCCCCTATAAAATTCTGTGATTCTCCTCTTGGAAACGGGGGAAACCTGCCTCTACTTCTAGGTCTGAGCGTCTCAGTCCTTTGGTGTCAAGGCACCCCCGCTGAGCCAGTACCCACAACTCTGCCACACATGGAGACTCCAGACTCCTCCTTGTAAGATAGGTCCTGAGTATTGTACTGCTCTCTGAAAAAATCCAGAACTCTTTTATTCATGTGATTGCCTACCTCCGTGTCATTTTTCTGTAGCAGATGTCTTCATTTTATAAATATTCTTATTTATCAGGGGAGCAGGAAGTCCAGGAGCTACCTGTTGACATATATAAACATAACAAAAAAATGATCATTTTAATCATATGAGGTGTACGATTCAGTGGCATTAAGTGCAGTCACATTGCTGCGTCGCCACCGCCACCATCCATCCTGCAGAACTTTTTTGTCTTCCCAAACTGAAGAGGCACCCATTAAACAACAGCTCCCCTCTCCCTCCCCCAACCCCTGTCAACCCCTATTCTACTTTCTGTCTGTGAATTTGACTACTCTAGGTACCTCATATAACAATATTTGCCCTTGTGGCTGGTTTATTTCACTTAGCATAATGTCCTCAAGGCTTATCCATGTTGTAGCATGTGTCAGAATTTGCTTCTTTTTTTAAGGCTGAGTAATATTCCACCTTATGGATAGACTGCATTTTATTATGTGTTCATCTGTCGATGGACGCTCGGGCTTCTTCCTTCTTTGACAATGGTGAATAATGCCACTGTGTACGCTTTCTAACTTTGGCATTAGTTTCTTTTCTTTCTTTTTTTTTTTTTATTTGAGACAGAGTCTTGCTCTGTTGCCTGGGCTAGAGTGCCGTGGCATCAGCCTAGCTCACATCAACCTCAAACTCTGGGCTCAAGCCATCCTTCTGCCTCAGCCTCACGAGTAGCTGGGACTATAGGCATGCACCACCATGCCTGGCTAATTTCTTCTATATATTTTTAGTTGGCCAATTAATTTCTTTCTATTTTTAGTAGAGACGGGGTCTCACTCTTGCTCAGGCTGGTCTCGAACTCCTGACTTTGAGTGATCCTCTTGCCTCCGCCTTCCAGAGTGCTGGGATGACAGGCATGAGCCACCACGGCCCGGCCTGGCATCAGTTTCTTCCTGCAGCTGTTTGGTTCTGCCTTCTGTCTTGGATTAGTTTCTGACCGACCTTCCTGCCTTACCGCCCTGTCTTGGCAACAGGTGGTGAGCATTGAGCAGATGGAGGACACGAGCCTGCTGCCTCACCCCATCATCGTCAGCATCAGGAGCAAGATGGCCTTCCAGTTCATCGAGCTCAAGGACAGAGACCGCCTGGTGGAGGGTCTGCTCGCGAGGCTGAAGCAGGTCCACGCCAACCACCCCGTGCACTATGACACCTCCACAAATGACGACGTGGTATGGCCCTTAGAAACACTGAGATTTCATGTGCCGAGAATCCCTTTTCTGGCCGTGTCTGGGGCAGTGGTCTCCAAAGGGGGTGCAGATGAGGAGGTTCACCCGGGAGAAGACGATGGCAGGGGCCGCTGGGCTGTGTCTCGCCTGGCATCATGTCTGATACACTGGGTGTCCTGCGCGGGTGTGTTGCGCAGAGCAGGGGAGGTGCTGAGGAACCGCCCCACAGCTTGGAGGAGGTGACCTGTGACACCCTCTGCACAGCTTAGAGGGGTTGACAGCTCCTGCCCCTGAGGCCCAAGGGGATGACGTCATTCAGGGCAGCTGTAGCCTGCCGAAAGAGAAGCTTCATCATCCTTTAGGTTGGGCTGCAGGGGCCTACCCTGCTGTTCTTCCCATCCCTCGTCCTCTTTCTCGACTCGTTTCACTCTTACGCAGTGATGGGGAGAAAAGGAGACGCACCCTCTCTCTGTCCCTAGACCTGTGTTCTCAAGGTGGTAGTCCCCAGTCCCAGAAGCTGAGGGGAGGCCGAGGCTGCCCACGAGGAGTTGCCTGGGGACCCAGCCCTGGGAGCCGTACTAGCCCCCCCACCCCCGGGAGAACACTGTGGGGCCATTTCTTCCTGAGGATGGAATCCTGTCGGGTTTGATAGTCAGTGTTCCCCCTTGAGTAGTTTAAGTCTGTTATGCTTGTGTAGCCAAAGGCAACACAGAGACTGTCCCGTGATTAAAGCAACGACTTTCTTCTTTCTCTCTCTCTCTCCCTTTCCTTTTCCTTTTCCTTTTCCTCCCCTCCCCTCCTTCCTCTCCTTCCTTCCTTCCTTCCTCTTCCCTTTCCCTCTTTTTCTTCTTTCGCAGACTTCACCTGTGTTTTATTCAGCAAGCATATGCAGTGACCACAGGTTTGGGGATCTTGAAATGGTGTCGTCTCAAAACAGTGAGGAGAGTGGGAACGAGAAGAGCCCGCTGCTGCACCCCGATGCCCTGGTCACCGTCTTCCAGCAGTCGGGTGGCCAGAGTCCTGACTCCCGAATGGTGGGTGAGGCGGCTCTGCCCTTGCCGGCCCTCCAGAGTGGAGCCGTGGGCGTGGGTGGTCGCCAGGATGTCTGACCCGCTGTGGGACGTTGGCACCTGTTCACGCCAGCTCCGTAGGGCCCCGGGAGATCAGTTGGCACAGGTTGCCAGGTGACCTTGGGGAGCTACAGTTCCTCTTCCCTCTTGTCCTCACTGGTGACAAGCGGAAGGGGTCTGCTGACCTGGTCAGAGGACGAAGGGGGCTGTCCTCCCCACCTGCCCTGCAGTGGCTCTTGTACTGCTCTTGGCTGCGTGGCCCTAGGAGCCCACAGTGGGGCCCTGTGTGCTTTCCAGGTACAGGACAAGTCTGTCTCCTTTTTTTTTTTTTTGTCTCTGGGACAAAAAGGTCACCTGTCTTCTAGTTTTACTGAAAATACTTTTGCCATATTTACTTACAGTTTTCTTCTTCGTAAGGAGAATTTGAGGCAAATGTCGCATACAGTTGGGTAAAGCGACTGGAAATTATACTTTGAAATAGAGCCACAGCAGGTGGGATGCTATGTTGTACCATGAGTACCAGCCAGTGGCTTTTAATATTATTGCCCCAAGCTTATTTTTAGTTGCTTAATGGCTCCTATAGATCAATTATTAGCTTTATTTATCCAAAACCAATTCTTCTCACATGGCTTTACGCATATAGATGCATAATTAACTCTTATTGACTAAATTCATGAGAATATTGAATGTGTGTATTTATGTCTCCCATACCTGGAGAATACAGATAATTAAAAGCAAATATAAATCTCTTGTTTAAAGGCACCAGACATTCCTGCCATCTAGGGATAAAGTCGGTTGCCTAGAGAAATGCTATCTTTCTCATTTCTGCTAATGAGAACAATAATTTTTTCAGGTTTCGGTTTTCCCTTTGGCTGTCAGGAAGCTCAGTACAAATTGCGATGCCCTCTCGTTCCCCTTTGCCCTCTGAGCTGACCTGGGTTTTAGTAGCTGCCTTGGCAGTGACATCCTGAGGAAGCTTCCACCGATGTGCCCATGTGCCCCCCGCCCCCCTCCGTCCTCCCACCCAATTTGGGCTACTTTAGTATTTGGACTGACATACTCTTATTATCAGCCTTGCCAAGGAAATTGCATTTTATTTCTGTGAATGCTCCCGCTGGGCTCTGAGCTCCTGGGGGGCTGGTGTTCTGTGTCATCCAGCTTTGCATCCTCTGTGCCTACTTAAGGGTTCAGAACTGTTTGCTCTGTGTGAATACAGGTGTCGTGGCCTGTCACCAGAGGCCTTTCTGTTCACAGAGGCAGCACTTCCTCTGTTACGGGTCATGCATCAACTCTGGGGGCAGGCGAGGCCGGGCTGCTTTGTACATTAGGAATATTTCCGTTTCCAGTCCAGAGAGCAGATAAAAGTCAGTCTGTGGAACGACCACTTTGCGGAGTACGGCAGGACCGTGTGCATGTTTCGCACAGAGAAGATTCGGAAGCTCGTAGCCATGGGGATCCCTGAATCTTTACGTGGAAGACTTTGGCTCCTTTTCTCAGGCAAGTGTTTCTCCGGTTTTTTTTAGGCCAAATGTTGTTATTTTTTGGAGTGGGTGCAGGAACAAGCCCTAACCTGAGCGGCGTGTGTGTGTGCGCGCGCGTGCTGACGAAGGCATCCATCTCTGGACCGTTCCTGTGAATTGGGAACCGGAGCCGTGGGGAGCACTCACTGTGCTGCCGTGGGGCCCCAGTCGGGTGGCCTGGGGCCCCTGGGGGCTGCTCAGTGAGTGTGAGGCCTGGGCCAGGTGATCTCCCTCCCTTTAAAAACGACTTTATGAGTGTCTGTGCAGAGCTCAGAATTCTCTGGCAGTGAAGCGTCTTTATAAAATGTGCCTTCTGAGACGGACTAGACAGAGGTGATGATCATCCCTCAGACGTAGCTGACCGCGTGTCGAAACACAGCCCTCAAGAGCGTAGCTCCACGGAGCCTTTTTCCTTGAAGACGAGGGGCGGCCACAGAGACAAAACTGCCGACTTCTCTCCCATTCCGTTCCGTCCTCCTCCACCGCCGGCCCATTCGGTGGCAGGAAACTCCTCTGCCACTGTTGGGTGGCATCTGAGGGCCCCTCACCAGGACGTTTGCTGATGGGGCCAGGCTTCCCGAGACTTCTGAGTGGGCGGCGTCTGTCTCTCCCCGTGGCCTGTGAGCGTTGGGTCCTGCCTGGCGGAGGAGCTGGGAACCCCGGGGGTGGGGAGGGAAGGCCCCTGCCACCTGGCAGTGTGACTTCACTGCTCGTTTCGGGGTGCTGTGGGGGAGGTGTGGTGAGGGGTCCCCTCCCTAGATGACCCCGTGGCCAGCAGCGAGGCTCCCAGAGGCTGAGCCTGCGTCGCATGCCTGTCCCCTCCCTGCGCACTCCTCCTGGATGAGAACATTCCGTCGTCCTACCTCCTGCCAACCTCTTGCTGGTTCCTCAGCCCTCCCTTCTTCCTCTCCTCTTTCCTCCTTGTCCACCCCCGAAACAACCCCACATCTCCGCTTTCCTGCCCGAGATGCCCAGACATGGATTTCGTGCTTCCCACATACCCAGTGGCATCGGCGTCTCGCGCCGTTGGGCGCCGAGCAGAGGGACCCGCCACCTACCAGAGACACACCATCAAAGCACCTCTTTTTTAAAATTAAAATTGTCTTCTGTATTTTTGTTTTCTTCTTCGTTTTTTTTTTTTGAGACAGTCTCACTCTGTTGCCTGGGCTAGAGTGCCCTGGCATCAGCGTGGCTCACAGCAACCTCAAACTCTTGGGCTCAAGTGATCCTCCTGCCTCAGCCTCCCAAATTGCTGGGACTACAGGCATGTGACACCATACCTGGCTAATTTTTTCTATAAATTTTTTTAGTTGTTCAGCTAATTTCTTTCTATTTTTTTGGTGGAGATGGTGTCTTGCTCTTGCTCAGGCTGGTCTCAAACTCCTGAGCTCAAACGATCCACCCACCTCTCAGCCTCCCAGAGTGCCAGGATTACAGATGTGAGCCACTGTGCCCGGCTTCTTCTGTATTTTTGTACATGATAAAAATACGTATATTCATAGTTGGAAAACGAGAGCATGGAGGGGCAAGCAAAGAAAGTAACATTTCTCGTCGTCCTAGAGGTGACTCCCGTCACCCTCGGCCTACAGTCTTTAGATCCTTGTCATACGTACACGCACACGCTTTTCACGTAGGTCCGTGTTTTCGTATTTCCACGTTGGACTGTGTGATCCTGAGTTTATACAGGACTGTCTTTCCCAGTGAGTGAGAATATCCTTTGTTGACAGGAAGCTCACTGTCATGTTTAAGCTGTTGCTGAACAAGCAACAGCTTGTAAACGCTGGTTGTCACACGTGGATGCCACAGCGACTGTACAGCAGAGCACATGGGGGGCACAGGCAGTGACTGCAGGCTGGACGGCCGAGGAGGGTGTTTTCGTACACCCAGCAGAGACTCAAAACGTTGACGAGTGGTTAAAGGCAGAATGGGGCCCCCTTCTGCTCCCTGCTGTCCTTGGCCCTGCCTCACTGCCAGCCCCAGGGAGGGCTGAGCCGGAGCCCAGGGACGCCCAGTGCTGGCTGACGAGCGCAGTAGAGTCCTCGCCTGGTGCTCCTGCCTCCATTCCCCCATCGCGCCTGCCTGGTAGAGGCCCGGGCAGTGGCTCTGGCGGTGGGCGGCTGGCGAGGAATTTTCCAAGCTTGGTCCTCCTGCTGTGGTCCGTGCATCTTGAACCTGACCTCCAGAGTTCTGGGTTGGCCCCTCTGTAGCTGTCGGCTTTGCTGCTTCACAGCTGGTCCTTCTGTCCGTGCTTCACACATAGGCACTCCGTGCGATTTCTTGTTGAATTAATTCACAAACGTTGTGTGTGTGTGTATATGTGTGTGTGCTCCTCCTGTTGCTAGGGAATGCAGCTTACTAAAAACCTATTAATACAATTATTGTTATTATGAGCTTTTTCCCTCCCTCTCTCTCTGTAAGGTCATTTTTAGAAAAGGCACCTCATTTCTTTTTTTCCTTTCTCTTTTCTGTTTCTCGGACTAGGCCACGCGGCAGAAATGAATTCCTTTTGGTGGCGTGTGTTCCCCACATATTTTATGTCCTTCAATAAGTGACATGACTCTGTGGGGTCCCCTGACAGGCCGGGCCCCCTCCCCTTAGTGACACTACCCTGGTAATCACTCCCCCTTGAAACAGTGCCTTTCAAACCCAGATGCCGTGACGGATCTCGCCGCGCACCCTGGCTACTACGGGAATCTGGTGGAGGAGTCCCTGGGGAAATGCTGCCTGGTGACCGAGGAGATAGAACGAGACCTGCACCGCTCCCTGCCTGAGCACCCCGCCTTCCAGAACGAAACGGGGATCGCTGCCTTGAGGAGGGTCCTGACAGCCTATGCCCACCGGAACCCCAAGATCGGATACTGCCAGGTGAAGCGTGCACCAGGCTCGGGGACCCCCACTCTGTGCCTCGAGTTCACCCTCCCGGCACCTGGTTCTGTGCCCAGGCCCCGAGCGAGAGCTGTTGTGTGAAGGCACCGTGCTCACTCCTTTCCCCAAAAGCATGTGTCGAATAAGGGCCAGAGGAAATCATCTTCAGATCGTCAAACAGGCTGATCATTTGAGATTTAAAAGTTTACCCAGTGCCTGCAAAGAGCAGTGTCCGTGCGGAGTGATGGTGTAGGAGCAGCAGGGCAGATTCGGGCTTCACTGCCCCTCTCGAGCTCAGCTGCAGGATGGGATGTGTAGGTCTTCCAGACCTCGGCAGGGATCACGGGGGTTATTTAAAATGGCAGTGCTGCTTGGGGAGGAAAAAGATGATCAGGGCTGATCTGTTTCCTTCAGGAGGTAAGATGACATCCTCTGGGCCAGGCGCGGTGGCTCACGCCTGTAATCCTAGCACTCTGGGAGGCCCAGGCAGGAGGATCGCTCAAGGTCAGGAGTTCAAAACCAGCCTGAGCAAGAGTGAGACCCCGTCTCTACTAAAAATAGAAAGAAATTAACTGGCCAACTAAAAATATATAGAAAAAATTAGCTGAGCATAGTGGCGCGTGCCTGTAGTCCCAGCTACTCTGGAGGCTGAGGCAGGAGGATCGCTTGAACCCAGGAGTTTAAGGTTGCTGTGAGCTTGGCTGATGCCACAGCACTCTAGTCTGGGCAACAGAGTGAGACTCTGTCTCAAAAAAAAAAGGATGATGTCCACTGAGCCGTCCTGACTTGAGGGGCGTGGTCCACAAAAACAAAATGAAACTCTGGTATTTGCTGCTGCTGTTTTAACTAACACAAGACTGGCTCAGTGAAGCTTCTGACATTTAAACATCTAAGGATCCAAACTTTGCTTTCCTATGAGGAAGCAAAATCAATGGGCGAATGGAGGGGTGTGTGTGCGCGCATACAGGGAGTAGCTGGATTTGATCCGAGCCTGAGATTTGCACCATGGCTGAATCCCACATTACTAGACGGAGACTGAAGGGTGCCCAGTTGTAAAGACAGGTGTGTCTTGTGAGGACTAGGTTGGGGTCATGGTCATCCCACTTCCCAAGTCTGGTTGGGGTATGCTGGACTTCTCACTTATAAAATCTTTACTTTTGTGGATTGTTTAGGCTTGTGTGTTTTTAATGCCTCTGTGGCATGAGGTGGGCTGGCTGGTAACTGTCCCTTGTCTGACCCCCGAGCAGTCCATGAACATCCTGACCTCCGTGTTGCTGCTGTACGCCAAGGAGGAGGAAGCCTTTTGGTTGCTGGTCGCCGTGTGTGAGCGGATGTTGCCCGATTACTTCAACCACCGGGTGATTGGTAAACCACCTCCCTTCCTCCTCTTCTGTGTCTGGGAAATAGTGATAAGGCCTGCGCGAGACATGTACTATCAGTCCTATGTGTAACATCCCTCGGTACCACTGAGCTAGTCTCTCCGCAAGCATGGTTTGACTCTTGACTTTGCAAAACCTAACTTGGGTACTGTAATTCTCTGCTCAGTTCTGGCCATATGGTGGGCCAAGGTAACCCAAGTACAGCCCTGCTACACACCTTACAGATTTTGGATTGAAAACAACCAAACAAGCAAATGATTTTAGATAGACAGCCAAACTTATAAGAAGGGCAGGAAGATTTCCAGGTCCAAGAGACAAGTCAAAAAGTGAAAGCCAGAGTGAAACCACTGATGCCATGGCCTGGAAGGGGGTCAGTGGGGTGGGATTCTTCTTGGTAGCCCAGGGAGCTTTTGTGTCGCTATGGAAGGTGGGTGGTTCGATGCTGGAGACCCTCGAGGCCTACACCGTCAATTAAAGGAGATATGGAGGAGCCCCCCACTTCCATCATGAGATCGTAGGAAAGCACATTTGTTGCTTTCTGGGCTCTGGGTAAACCTACAGCTCCTGCACCAGTGCCTCTGTGGTTGAGATTTGAACATGCACTTCCTCTGTGCTCCCGCAGCCTCCTAGTGGAGAAAACAATACAAAAGTTACCTTGGGTTGGGGATCCTCCTAACGACACTTTTTAGTAATCCTGATGAGAGAGAGAGGCGGCCTAAAATTAGGGTGGTGGCGTGGGAACAGAAACACAAGAACCAATGTGGGACAGAATTTGGCAACTGACTGGATGTAGTGGGCAAGGCAGGAAGAAGGTGCTTTTGAAGGGCTGTGTCCTAAGACTTGGAGGATGTTTTGACCACTGGGAGGAAGGAGAAGGGGCTGGCGGGTGGGTGTGGTTGGCTGGGATGGCAGTGACAGCTTTGTGCCTCCTGGACAGGGGTTCACGGGCTCCCTTTCCTTCTCACTTTGTTGTGGGAGGTGGCGCAAGGTCCACAGTAGCAAGAAAGAATCAGAACCTGGGTGTCACCAAGAAGCATGTTGTCTAGGCCATTGTCAAAGCCACCGTTTGATGAGTGTTGCGGTGTGACAGCTCATACTCAGCAGTGACCACCTAGACCCTCCGTGATAGTGGGTGATCACCACCTCCCGACCGGATGGAACATTTGGAACATTTCCATCAGAAAGTTCCCTTCTGCCCTTTCCCTGCCATGGGCAGCACTTGGCACTGATTTCTGTCGTCATAGATTAACGTGGCATACTCTTGAACATTGTGTAAATGTGGCGATAGAGACTATAGTGCTTTGTGTCTGGCTTCCTTCACACAACGTCACAACTGTGAGAGGCATCCACGCTGCGGGTGCAGCAGTAGTCTGCCCCTCTCTGTTGCTGAGCAGTAGTTCGCTGTGCATTCACACCAGCATCTGCTTGTCCAATACCTATTGATGGGCATTCGAGTTATTTCCAGTTTTGGGATGTGATAAAGTACCAATGAACATTCACATAGAGGTGTTTCGGGGAATATATACTGTCATTTTTGTTGGGTATTTACCTAGGAGTAGAATTGCTGGGTCACAGGTCAGATATATGACTTAAAAGGAAACACCGTCAGTTTTCCAAAGTGGATGTAATGTATTTATATATCTCATACCAGAAGTGTATGAGAGTTCCAGTTGCTCCACATCCTTGGCAACACTTGGTATTGTCTTTTTAATTTTAGCCATTCTAGTGGATAAGAAATAATATACATCATGGTGGTTTTAAATTACATTTCTCTGGTGATTAATGATGTTGAGCATACTTCTCTATGCATGCTGACCATTTGTTTATCATCTCATTTGAGTGTCTGTTTAGATTGTTAGCCTATTCGAGAAAAATTGGTTGTTGCTTTCTTATTAAGTCATAGGAGTTCCTTATCTTGAATAACAGACTTTTGTCAATATATGCATTGTAAATATTTTCTCCAAGCTTGAAGCTTGCATTTTCATTTTATTAGTGGTGTCTTTCGAAGAACAGCAGTTCTTGATGAAGTTCAGTTTGCAATATTTTCTACACTTAGTACTTTTTATGTCCCAAGAAATTTTGCCGTTTGCCTATATTTTCTTCTAGAAGTTGTTTATAGTATTAGCTTTTATATTTAGGTCAATAATGCATTTAAAATATGTTTCTCTATATAGTGTGAGATAGGGTTTGGGTTTCTTTCCCCCTCCTCCCCCCGTCCCGTGCCAATATCTGGGTGCTTGGGCACTGTATTTTGGAAAGCATATCGTTTACCCATTGAATTGCTTTGGTCACAATGTCAAAAATCAATGAACTAAGGTGTGAGTACCTTTCTGGACTCAAATTTTGTTTCATTGTCCTGGTTACATCAGAGTAATTTTAATTCTAACTTGAATCTTGTCCCAACCAGTGTGCTCCGCGGCCTTCCTTTTCCAGGGGCGCAGGTGGACCAGTCTGTCTTCGAGGAGCTCATCAAGGACCACCTCCCGGAGCTGGCGGAGCACATGAACGACCTCTCAGCCCTGGCGTCCATCTCTCTCTCGTGGTTTCTGACTCTGTTCCTCAGCATCATGCCTCTGGAGAGCGCGGTGAATGTCGTAGATTGTTTCTTCTACGATGGGATCAAAGCCATCTTCCAGCTGGGGCTGGCTGTGCTGGAGGCCAACGCCGAGGAGCTGTGTGGCAGCAAGGACGATGGCCAGGCCTTGATGGTCCTCAGCAGGTAGGCTCTGCCACATGCTTCCGTGGCTACCTGGGGACGAAGGAGGCAGCTGGGACTCTGGAAGGCCGCAGGAGGAGGCAGCTGCAGGTGCCCCGCCGTGCCATTGCTGCGGCAGTTTTCTGTTCCACGCTGCCTCTCGCCAGCTGTTGTCACCCTGTGGCTTCCCCAGAGCCAGGCCGCTATGGGGGTGGGTGAGAGGGTCCAGGAAGAGGAAGGCTATTATACATGCTTTTCTCTTAGAAGCCTGAATACCTTGCAGCTAGATGGACTCACAGTCGCCTTGAACAAGGCTGAGGGGACACCATGCAACGTGAGTCTCAGGCAGCCAGCTGGGGGTTCAGACATTTTATGTGTAGGGATGGTGAGCTGCAGTGAAGGAGATGTCACGCTAGGATGAGCACTAAAACCAGCCTCTCTGGGAGCTGAGGGCGACTTGAATGACGTCTAAAGAGAGGGCATTCTCTTTCAGAATAGCATGGAAGCTTAAAGTCGCATGTATGCACATAATTTTGTGTTTACTTCACTGGAGGGTTTCATGCCCCTGGAAACCCACACACGGGATCCAAAAGACATGCCTGGCTTTATGGCCGTCTGTCATTTTTTCTCAGCAGTCTTGCCCTCCTCCCAGTGTTGGTGTTTGCAGGTGCCCAGGCATGTTTAATGCCCTGTGAAGCTGGTGGGTGTCGATGGGGATCCTGGGCTTTGACTGGGTGGTGTGCTCAGGTTTCTAGATCACATCAAGAATGAGGATAGCCCGGGGCCACCAATTGGCAGCCACCATGCATTTTTCTCCGACGACCAGGAGCCCTACCCTGTGACAGACATTGCTGACCTGATCCGGGACTCCTACGAGGTAAGGGGGGCCCCCGGCCCCTCACTCTCTTAAGCGATGAATGCAGAGGGAGGTTTCCTGGCCACCTTCTATTTCCTCTGTTTGGACAAAGCAGGGGCCCCTGTGAGCGAGTGGTCTCCTGTTTCCCTGCAGAAATTTGGAGACCAGTCTGTGGAACAGATCGAGCACCTGCGGTATAAGCACAGGATCAGGGTCCTGCAAGGCCACGAGGACACCACAAAGCAGAACGTGGTGAGTAGAGGACGCCTCGCAGCGGTGCTCACGGAATTCAGGAGCTGATCCAGGAGTGCATGTCCCTTTTGGTCACATGACATAAGAATGTCAGCTTTTTTTTTTTTTTCTTTTTTTGCATTGACTTAGTAGGGGTGACGTAGGGTGGATATAATGCAAGGGTTTTTGGAATCAGATTGTGAGCGTATTAACCACCATGAGTCTCGGTTTCCCCATATGTGCAATGGGGGTAACAGCCCCCACTGTGCAAGACTAATGAGGTGTGGTGTGTCAAGTGCCCGGCACAGATGGCCTGCAGCGAGGGCTAGGTCTGTTCAGAAGGCTCTCCCTGTTTCCCCCTAGCTGTAGCTCTGCCAGCTTCTTAGCTTCTATCGGAGGTTACTGCATTTGTCCCGAGGCACTGCTGTGTGACTTGGAAAGAGGTTGAGGGTGACATACCAGAGAAAGATACTGGAGAGTAGTCTTTATGTCACATGCAGGGGCCATTGCACGAGGGAAGCGGGGAACACGGGTCCTTGCTCCTCACCAGGAGGGGTGTCCTCGCCTCCCTCTAGGGTCTCCAGGGTTTGCAGGCCTAGAATTCTCTCCATCACTGTTTATTCTTTCCTTAAGCTCCGAGTTGTTATCCCGGATGTGTCAATTCTTCCTGAGGACCTAGAGGAACTCTATGACTTATTCAAGGTATGAAAATCTGGGAAGATGAGGGAGGTGCTGGCCCAAGCCACTGTGGCCAGCCTGCCTGGGGTGAGTGTGGCCTCCACGGGCTCTGCCATGTGCCTGTTCTGGGTTGCAGAGGCTGGAGCTGCCCTGCCTGCCAGCTCTGTCTTAACCTCACCCACTTGCTTCCACCCAGAACCTCTCTCCCTCCCCCTCGGCTCTGCAGCCAGGCGCCCCGCTTGGCATCTGGGAGGAGGGAGCTGGGGTGCTCCTGGGCGGCCCTGCAGCCTGGCATGGCTCCGGTGCTGAGGCTACTGGCCTCTGCTGGGAGGTCACTGCTCCCTGCTGTCCTGATGAGCTCTGGGTTCCTACTCTGTGGGAGATGAAACAGCGACCCTTGTTGGAATCATCCGCTGGTATACTTTTTAATTACGTGTGATCCCAGCCCACAATACACGCGTACTCCAAGATACACGTATGCATATTTTTGTATTCGTGTGGTGGCTGTGCATGCTAGTTGATGTTGTATTTTTCCTCAGTGCTGTTATTGACACTCTCCCGTGTTACCATGTAGTCTCAGTCATTTTTGGATAACTCTGATCTATCACATTGGTAACACTTAACACAGTAAAGCAGATTACAAATATTTGGATATCTACATGGAGGTCTAGGTTTAGCTACTTAAATCATTCTGTAAAGAGCCACTTCAGGCACCTCACTGGAAGTTTTCTGGCTCAAAACAGTAAACGAAAATGAAGAGGAGAGGTGGACACAATCATCCCCTCTTGCCACCCTGCCAGAGGGTGGGGAGGAAGCACAGTGCACAGAGCAGGCCTGGCCTGGTTGCCTTCGTGTGCCTGGTTCGGGCCTGTCCCAGGAGTCACTGCAGTGGCTTGGTGTGGGTTAGCAGGTTCCTGGCAGCCCCACTCCTAATGAGCAGGATGTGTGGTGAGCGCTAGCAGGTCCTCGCCTCCCATAAACATTGCCTGTGTGCGTGTGCAAGTTTTATTGTTTCCTTTGTTGCATGAAGACAACATACAAAGTCAAAGGTTACTTGGTGTTCCAACCCCCAACCTCTCTTTGGCTTTCAAGAAGGGAAAACAGGGAATACTAGAAACATAAAAGCAGGGAAACAAATGATATGTTGCTTTGTTTTATTATTTTTTAACTTTATTTATTTAGGGCTAATTTTTCTCAAGTTGAGAGAACAGGAGACATCACAAATATGAATTTATGTAATTTAATGGTTGGCTTTAAATTAACAATAAAAATGAATTTTATTGGCCATGCGTGGTGGCTCACGCCTGTAATCCTAGCTCTCTGGGAGGCCAAGGTGGGCAGATTGCTCAAGGTCAGGAGTTTGAAACCAGTCTGAGTAAGAGCGAGACCCCGTCTCTACTAAAATAGAAAAATTAATTGGTCAACTAAAAATATATAGAAAAAATTAGCCGGGCATCGTGGCACATGCCTGTAATCCCAGCTACTCGGAAGGCTAAGGCAGGAGGATCGCTTGAGCCCAGGAGTTTGAGGTTGCTGTGAGCTAGGCTGATGCCACAGCACTCAATCTAGCCTGGGCAACAAAGTGAGAGTCTGTCTCAAAAAAAAAAACAAAAAAAAAAACCAATTTTATTAAGTACCAACCACATGGTTCATGTTTCATAGGAAGGAATATTTAGAGGCACCTCCTGTCTCTTGAATCAAAATTTCATTTTCTCATGAGAAAGGGCCATATAGAAAAACCCCTATAGTGTTTTATTAATATAAATATGTGATAGGTTCTTCATAAGGAGTCCATTCCTCCAGTTCATTCCATCCTTCCCTAAACCTGGAATGTGCAGGCATGGCTGTTCTCTATGTCAACACGACATAGTACTACAGCTCTAACTGGCTTCTTTAAATACTCTTCCCATTAAAGATGAACAGTGTGGTTGGTACTTAATGAAATTTATTGCTAGTTTAAAGCAGCCCTTTAAATTACATAAATTCAGATTTGTGATATCTCCTTCTCTTTCAAATAGAATGTGAACAGTATAAATATAGACTTGGTCCCAAAGCTACTCCTGGAGACACCCAGGACCTGAAATGGCGCCTTATGGATTCCACAGACATGTTCTTACTGAATTCATCTACTGTTGCTGATTCCTATGCCTTAGAGAGCACTTGGTCTCGTTAATATTATTTTGCTTTCTTCTTAAGACTTGTTTTCAAAGTTTAATTAAAAACATAATATTATACTTACTCTTACCATAAATAAAAGAAAAATAGGCCGGCATGGTGGCTCACCCCTGTAATTCCAGCACTTTGGGAGGCCAAGGTGGGAGGATTGCTTGATACCAAGAGTTCAAGACCGGCCTGGAGAACATAGTGAGACCCTGTCTCTACAAAAAATTTAAAGTTAAAAAAATAAAACTTTTAAGGAAGAAATGAAAGGGCCTTACCCTGTGCTACTATAAGCTTACCTCGTACAGGTAATTACTGTTTATAACGTGGTTAATATATTACCTGATTCCCCCTTACATCATACTATTGATAGATACACACACGCATATAATATACATATTAATACAAACACCCACCTTTTCCCGCACATGCGGGTGAGATTGTGCTATACATGATGGCGTGCAATTTTTTTTCAGTTGACCATATATCATGGACTTTTTTCTAGATCAGCATCTACAGATCTTTTCTCATTCTTTTTTAGAGACTGCATGATTTCCTTGTAGGGCTGAACTATGATTTGTTTAATCACCCAACTGTTGAGGGACATTTGTGCTGTTTCAAGGTTTCGCTACAGCATAAACAGCATCACACTGAGCACCCTACACGTTTCTCCAGACACCAGTCCTGCTGTTCCTGTAGAATGGGCTCCTCGAGGTGCAAATGCCGGGTCATGGGGGATGTACATACCTAATTTTAGTCGATACTGCTATTAAGTATTTTTGATTTTTCAAATTACCATCCCACCGATGGTATCTGCGAGGGCTCATTTCCCCACATTCCACACCCACCTCACATTTAATGTCATGGATCTTAAAATATTTTGCTAGTCTGGTAGAAAATTTGATTTCATTTTAATTTAAACTTGTTTAGTCATTAATGAGGTTGAGTACCATTTCATGAGTTTATTGGCTAATTGTATACTTTGTGGAATCACTCGTTCATATCCTTTGCCTATTTTTATGTTGGTTTGTTTTCTGTGGAACTCTTTAAACTAGCTGTATTGGCCCTTAATTTGTATATTACAACCACGCTGTTTTGCATTTACGGCCTTTAGCATGATAGTGTGCACCAATACACATGGAAATTCCTAGTGTGCCTTGGGTCTTTAGGAAAAGAAATTTATTAGATCTCTGTTGCACACTTAAAAGTTCTTGTGGTTTGTTTCTTGATTGTGTAGTGGCTGTTTAAACAACGTAGCTGCAGTGAGTATGACCTTAGAGGTATAAATGACACTCTGGCTCACTCAAGGACATACGCTGCAGATGGCAGCTTCTGCACTTGTTTCAGTCCCGTTGTGTTCTCTGGACAGAGGGTCTTGATGCTGTACAGAACCCTGGACTCCCTAGGAACCACTTCAGGCCTTTGTGAGTTGAGATGTCCAAAGAGTTGCTCTAGTACAGGTGTAAGCAATGTATTCTGAAGAGGTTAACCCGGTCCTCAGTGGCAGGACCAGTTTTGATTGTGTCAGTTTTCAGTCTGTTTGCAAGACTTCAACTTGCCTTTTTTTTTTTTTTTTTGAGACAGAGTCTAACTCTGTTGCCTGGGCTAGATTGGAGTGCGGTGGCATCAGCCTAGCTCACAGCAACCTCAAACTCTTGGGCTCAAGTGATCCTTCTGCTTTGGCCTCACGAATAGCTTGGGACTACAGTCATGAACCACTATGCCTGGCTAATTTTTTCTATTTTTAGTAGAGACGGGGTCTGGCTCTTGCTCAGGCTGGTCTCGAACACCTGAGCTCAAGCAATCCTTCCGCCTCGGCCTCCGCTTTTTTTTTTTTTTTTAATTTTAAAAATTGCTAATATATTTATGTGGTTCAAAATTCAGAAATTACAAAAAAAATATGCAGTAAAACCAATGTCCTTTGTTCCTTCTGTATCCTATAGATTTGTCTATAGGATCCTATAAAAATCCTGTAGATTTTGATTCTCGAATAACACAATTTCAAGTGAAAATATCAGAATGAAAATTGTGTCTTCTATAATTAAAACTGTCAACTGGAACCATACATTTTTAAATGGTTAGAATGGTAAATTTTATGTGCTGCATATTTTGCTACAATGAGAAAAAAAGAAACCTTAATAACAAAGGAAAGAGAAAAAGGTGTTAAAATTACAAATTCACGTGGGCAAGCACTGTCGGGTAATGAGGAAACACTTTTCCAGGTCTGGTTAGAGTGGTGAGGTGGTGAGCGGTTGAATATTCTGTCCATTTGTGAGTGTTGCAACGTTGCTTATTCGACAAGCAGTGCTGTAAGAGGCGACACGGGCCGGGAGAGAGGGTGCGCCGGCCTTGGCTCTTCTCCACGCAGCCTCCTGTGCGTGGGCTCCGCTGTGTGGCACAGCCCCCTCTCCCTCTTGTTTTAAGAGAGAGCACATGATGAGCTGTTACTGGGAGCAGCCCTGGCCTGTGGCCCCGCGCCACGACCCCAGCAGGCCGTACGCCGAGCAGTACCGCATAGACGCCCGGCAGTTTGCACACCTGTTTCAGCTGGTCTCACCCTGGACCTGCGGGGCCCACACGGGGATCCTCGCGGAAAGGACTTTCCGGCTCCTGGATGACAACATGGACCAGCTCATCGAATTCAGAGCGTTCGTCGGCTGCCTGGGTAAGACTGTGGGTCTTACTGCAGGGAGTTGACGTAGGCGGGGAGTCAGTGAGCAGGGGACAGGGTGCAGCGTGGGGACAGGCAGATAGATGCGTCCAGTGAAACACTTCTGTGACTGGCCTCACATGATTTTGTGACTTTGAGATTTTGAAATATCACCCTGCAGGCTCTTCCCAGGATCACGTCAATGCTTCTTCCTTAAGTGGGGGTAGGGAGAGGGGCCCAGGCTCTCAACCTACGAGGCCATTCGCCTTGTTGTCCTTCATGCCCAGGGTGTGGTGGGGGGCTTGTTGGGAGCCACGTTTTTAACCTCCTGTCCATAAAATTAAAATCTTTCAGAGAGTACGAGGCCAGACAACATTCACAAGGTTTCCTTGTGGCTCGCACAGTCGCCAGCCAGGGCCTTCACCGTTTCTTTGCTAACAGGGTGTGTATCTGGGGCAGCCATGTTAGGGCGGCAGGTGTCCGCCGTGCTGAGTTCTCTCTCCGTGGTGAGTTTGTGTCATGACAGATGTACTTGAACCATTTGCATCAACTCAGTCTCTCTCTCTTTTTAAAAAATTTTGCAGATGTTATGTACAATGGAGAAATGAATGAGAAAATCAAACTGTTATACAGGCTTCATATCCCTCCAGGTAAGAAAGTCCAAGGAGAAAAATCAGGCCATGCTGTGCTTCAACACAAGGTCAGCTTTGTGCGCAACACTGCAGTTCTCTTTTTAAATGTCATTTATACTTGAGGTGACAGATGTTTCTAGTTTGGGGTTTCAGATCACAGAATGTAAGTACTGCGCTGTATGGCGTATGGTAGGAGTTCCCACCCGTGAGCATGCATCAGGGTCACCTGCAGGGCTCGTTCAAACCATGTTACTGACTCCAGCAAGGATTTCTGACTCACTTGGTCTGAGGACCACCGTGAGAACCTTGGGCCTATGGACTGTGGTGGGGAGCCAGACCCAGGTTAGTTACCTTGTTGGCTGGTTATTTTAGGCTACTAATTTTGAAGGATCATTTCATTTTTCTAGCACCTAACACCATGCCTCTTTCAAATTTAAGAATCAAGTAACTAAGAACAAAGGAAGCTGTTTTGAAACCCGTGAGCTCAGACTTGATAAGGACAGAAACAAGAACAAGGACACCTGTTAAGGTGTTCCTTCAAAACTAATATATGTGAATTAAAAATCCCAGATAGTCTCTGGGCCCTGGTGCTGTGGTTCTGGTGTTGGATGATGGCTGGGAAGTTCTGTCCCAGGATCCTGGAGGCTAGTGGGCTCTGCAGAGGCTTCCGGGGCCATGAGATCCTGGTGACTTTTATAACTATGCAAGCACACACAGCACATACACCTTTATCCTCACCATTCACTCACTCACCAGAACAACTTCCAGTCCTGCAGTCTCCATTCATGGCCAACGCTCTATATAGGTGTACCATTTCGCAATTTTTTATACTGTATTTTTACTGTACCTTTTGTATGTTTAGATACATACGTATTTACCTTGTATTGCAATTGCCTACAGCATTCAGTAGAGTAACATGCTGTACAGGTTTGTAGCTTAGGAGCAACAGGCTGTACCATACAGCCTAGGAGTGTGGTAGGCTGTACCACCTAGGTTCGTGTAAGTACACTCTATGATGTTCACATGACAATGAAATCGCCTAACAACGCATTTCTCAGAATGTATCCCTGCCGTTAAGCAACACATGGCTGTGTACAATCATAGACTTCACAGATTGTTTACCGTGGATGAAAACCTTAATAGCATTATGGATTGGGATATTATGTGTTTGAAATAAATATCAACAGGACCGGAGATACAGAGCATGTGACTCCTCCTGTTTGCCTAAGGGAAAAGTTTGGCTTAGTCAGCCTTGTCTTATGGCTGTACAAAGACACCATACCAAAGATCAACTCTATAAGCTCCTGCTTTTGAGAATGTACTAATATATCAAATATGTACTGGAACCCAAGAAACTGAAGGATCTCTACAGTGTTGCAAGGACCAAAATAATAATGGGATTGGGCCCAATGGCATGCGTGAGGAAGGCTCACCAAGTGGGATGGAAGCAGATTGGCTAAGTGATGGATCGAGCCAGGGTTAGGAATGTCGCTCAGAGAATGAAAGCAGTCATTCTGAAGATTCAGTTGGAGGAGATGATGATTCTGAAAATGGATGATGTGTTAAGGAAATTCGCAAAGGTCAACTGAGAGGACCCAAAAAATGATAGTTTATGTTCCAGTTTAACAATGTGGGCAATACTGATACCAGCTACATCAGAAAGGTCACCAGGCATATTGGCTTTGATGATAGGCAGCTTCTATTCTACTTTTCAGTTGGTATTCTGGGTTGAAAATGCCACTGAGGATTTTGAAAAATAGAAAGTGTAAAATGTAAACTTCCTAAAAAACCTTTTATGAAATTAGGCTGGATGTGGTAGCTCACACTTATAACCCCAGCAGTTTGGGAAACTGAGGCAGGAGGATCACTTGAGCCCAGGAATTTGAGGCCAGCTTGGGTAACATAGTGAGACCTGTGTCTCTTAAAAAAGAAAGAAAAAAGCATAAAAGATTGCACTGAACCTTTTCTTTCTTTCTTTTTTAATTCCTTTTTTTTTTTTTGAGACAGAGTCTGGCTTTGTTGCCCAGGCTAGGGTGAGTGCCGTGGTATCAGCCTAGCTCACAGCAACCTCAATCTCCTGGGCTCAAGCGATCCTCCTGTCTAGTCTCCCAAGTAGCTGGGACTACAGGCATGCGCCCACCTGCCTGGCTAATTTTTTGTATATATATTTTTAGTTGGTCAATTAATGTCTTTCTATTTTTGGTAGAGATGGGATCTCGCTCAGGCTGGTTTCGAACTCTTGATCTTGAGCAATCCGCCCGCCTTGGCCTCCCAGAGTCCTAGGATTACAGGCGTGAGCCACCACGCCCAGCCTTGCACTGAACCTTTTCAACAAAAAAAAAGCTAGCTGCTGCAGATCCCTAGAATTATCTGAATTGCCAAAAGCCACTAAGAAATTGGATTTATGATTCCCTCCCTCCAGTAGTTGTGGTATCTCAAGTGATTTTTCTTAAAGAAGATATCTGAGAAACAAGTTGGATACCTTAGTTGATTTTCCTATCAGACTATATCAGAATTCCTAATTAATCAAATGCAAGTCGTTGCTGCTAGGGGAGGGTGCCATACTGCTTTTGCAAGCAATAAGCATGGTGGAGCGTGGTGGTGTTTTGGTGACTACTGTAGTACCTAAATGACATCCGAAAGCCAAATTGTGTTCAAGGCAGTACATGTGCTCTTCTCCCAGAGATGATGCACTTTCAGTGGAATTGGCTTTTTCCCTCTACAGGTATCCCATTTAGTGATGAAGATAGCAGTGGCAATGACAATGATATAGAAAATGAAAACCATTTGACTTGCAGTCATAAAGGAGAAACTTTCCTGCTGGTGGTATCTGTTGAAGTGCTAAAGTTACTCACTATGTTAAAAGTCTGAGGTGGAGGTTTCAGATACCCAAATGTAAATCCTTTACCTGATTTTAACTTGTGCAATAATTGAAGTGAGACTCAGTGAACGCTTTAATACAAAACATCCCTCAGTCCATTTGTGGTCTTGGATTACAAGCTACATGTATTTATATATGAATACATTATAAAAATAAGGTCATGTTTATAGAAGTTTGAGTATACCATTTACAGAGGTTGAAATGATATTTAAAGGTGGTATATATACTTAGTATTTACTGTTTCCCCATATGCATTATATTCTATAATCTGATCATAAACAGGTTATGGAGTGGGTTTTTTTTTTTTAGTGAACTTGACGTCTCCTGCAGCGTCCTTGTGTCCAGCGAAGTGACGTTGTGTTGTGTGTGCCATGGCAGAGAGGTTGGGGGGCTCTGCTCCAGGGTCTGGTTGGCCTTTCTGGCTCCTTGTTACCTGCCTCCTCTCTGGACACTTGCCCACCCCCTGGATGAATCACCGTCTTTGTGTGCACCCATCACAGTTGTGCATATTGGTTACAGCATTTTCTTGGTCATTTGTGTACACACGTTTGTACTTTTTGATACACCAAGCTCTTTGGCATCCCAACAGCTCTTCCCTGGGGAACCCATTTCCATCCTGACTACCCCAAGTACCATTCAAGGTTTGTAATTTTCCTCCTGAGTGGATTCTCGCGTGCACCACTGCACAGAATTTGTTTTGGGAAGAGTTGGAAAAAAGTGACTCAGTATCTTTGTTGTAGAAAAAGCCCACCAAATATTAGAAAAAGAAAAAAATGAATAAACCAACACTCTCTAAGACTCTTGGAAACCAGGAAGGTAGCTTTTCGAAGCTGTGGTGCCATCTTGTGGATTTGCTGAATCACAGATGAATTTTGTGTTTGATTTATTCTTGGTGAATGGCCAGCTAGTAAATTGCAACCTTTTTAAAGTATGAGGATCCTTCACTGTCATCCCCCTGATAATTGCTATTTTGTGGCATCTTCATTGAGCTATAACTCACCCTCCATGAAAGTCACCCATTTAAAGTGTATAATTCAATTTTTTAAATATATTCACAGAGTTGTGCAGTGATCACCACAATTTTAGAACATTTCATCACCCTAAAAATAAACTCGTACACTTAGCTATCACTCCCATCCATCCATTTTTCCCAGTGCTAGACAATTTGCTGTTTCTATAGATAGGCCTATCCTGGACATTTCATATAAATGGAGTTGATGTATTTTGTGTTTGACATCTTTTACTTGGTGTAATGTTTTCAGGATTCATCCATGTTGTAGCGAGTATCAATGCTTCAATCCTTTTTATGGCCAAATAATATTCCATTGTATGAATATTATTCCACTGTTATCAATTTGTTTATTCAGCATTTGGCTTATTTTGACTACTATGAACAATACTGCTACTATGAATATTTGTGCACATATGTTTTTGTGTGAACATACGTTTTCAGTTCTCTTGGGTATATACTTAGGAATGGGATTTCTGAGACAAATGCTAACTCTATGTTTAACATTTTAAGGAACTGCCAGACTGTTTTCCAAAGTGCCTGAGCCATTTTACATTTCCACCAGGAATGTACAAAGAGTTCAGATACAATTTTATTTTTAGTATCCTTTAAGAAAACTCCTAATGATAAGATAATGCTATGAATTCAGGAGAGCTTTTTTCAACTTTTTAAAGAAATTGTGTAATTATGGCAGTATGTGCTATTATAAATAGTGTGTTTATTTCTGGAGTATGGTATATGTATATATTTTAGCTTTACATAATGGAGTTTTACTACATACGTTTTTCCAGGTGAACACTAGCAATGTCCTTCTATGAATTTTGTGTCTTATTACTTACAACAGTAGCTACGGACATCTGGGAAAAGGCACACCTGGTGTGTGACATTTTATTCCTCTGTGTGTCCAGACAGTGCTTGGTGTGCATCTGGTTTCACGGACCATGCAAAGACTGTAGCCCACAGGTTGGGAGCTGCTGACTTAGTCTTCAGTTAAACATTTACCCTAAAAAGCTAAATTACTCTGTCACTTTTGGTTAGACAGAAAATTTGTTCAATTTAAACATCTCTCTCTCTCTCTCTCTCTTTTTAAGCACTCACTGAAAATGACTGCGACAGCCAGTCACCGTTAAAGAATCCTCTGTTGTCTACATCAAGACCCCTGGTTTTCGGGAAGCCCAATGGCACGTACCTCTTTCCATTGCTCTCTCCTTCCCCCTGGGCGGGTTCACTGCTGCCCTGGGCAGGCACGTGGCTTGCCCTCACCATGTCTCTGTAGCAGCCTCGGTGGACTAACACTGAGCCCACTGCCTTCGGAGGCTGGAAACCTTTCAAGTGGAAGTGTTGCTGGTGGCTACCCTCGCCCCCACCACCAAATCGCTTCCTCCTGTTTGCTCTTTCCCAGGTCCTCCTGTAGCAGAGGTCCCCCAGCTAACACCCCTCATTTGTGGTCAGCTGTAAAACACTCTCTCTCTCGAGGGAATCTCTCACTTTTCACAGTTTTGCATGGAAGTTGCTTAGTGGGATTCCTCATCCCCTTGCTATCCCCTCCTTGTGTTTTCCTTTTCGTTTTCATTGAATTTAAACTATATATTATTTCCCTTTGTCTGAAGGCGATGCAGTTGATTATCAGAAACAGCTGAAGCAGATGATTAAAGATTTAGCCAAAGAAAAAGACAAAACTGAGAAAGAGTTGCCCAAAATGAGCCAGGTATGGACTTTTCCTCTGTGCAGAGAATGAGCCATTTTGCCAAATGATTAATTTGAGAATTGAGCTTGGGCCCCTTTGCCTTTGGGGTCCAGGATCTTGTACCTTTGGGTAGCTGAGTGTTGTGAGTAAATGGGAAATATTCAAATTGTCACCAGTTCAGACATTCTAGATATTCACAGCTGTTTAAAACAGGAGGCTGCTACACTCGTAATGTTTTTGAAGAGTTTTTATATCAAATTCATTTATCCAGGTTGTGGTAAGGATTTATGCCTTTGGGTGATAGAAGCATTTGGAGCCATTGTGGATACAGCATTCTTCCCTTAAAGAATTAGTGTATTCCGTCCATTTTCTTGGAAATCATTGACTACATGATATATGGCTCTAAAACCTCTGGGGGTTTTCCAGAAAAGGGTTCTATGCTACAGAAGTGCCATATGATAGCTGTAGGTTTTCTTGTTAATTTGAAAAGTGTTCCCTCCCAGTATATAGGAAATATAGCTTAAAGTTAAAAACACTCTTTTTATTATGGGATTTAAATCATTTTGGTGCCGTCTACTGTGAGACTTCAAGAGTAGAATTTAGCATGCAAATGTTTCTCAGTCTTTTTTAACCACAAAACATCTTGTGGGATTAGTATTTCATAGCATATTTGAGAAATGCTGCTCTGTCTACTCCATTGGGGAGCTTTCAACTTTTTATTCTGCTCCGTGGATGTATGATAAAGTCAGTTAAATCTCATCACCCAAAGCCGTTGGTATTAACATTCTGATATGCATCATATTAACTTCTTTAGGTTATAGATATGCTTTAAGCAAAAATGGGCCATGTTAATACTTTGCTTTCCTTCAAAATAATCATGGATATTTCCTCCGAATTATTAAATATTTGTTAAATTAGTAGTTCACAACCATTTTTCTGTTCCTAGAGTAACTGAGTAGCTAAATCTCACCCAAAATTAGATTCTAAATTTCGGCAGGAGCACGTATGTAATTTTAGAAAACATCAAGCATCACTGTCCTATTTCGTTTTACAATCTTTAGGTCCTGCACGGTATTCCTCGCAGGTGAGCATGTCATAGTTTTATTTAATCATAATACTTTAGGTGTTTCCAGTGCATATTATAAACTCTAGGTCTGAAGATCCTCATAGATAAATCTGTACATTGCTCTGGTTTCTTTGGACACGTTGCTACAAGTTGATTTACTGGGCTAAGGGGAGTACACGTCCTCTGGGAAGGTCTCCACATTTCTTAATAGTTACCGTGCAGACAAGCAGCAGCACACTTTCAAATGTGTGTCAATATTCCTTGGAGTCAAACTGTTTTCAGAGTGAAAGGACAGAGATTACCTTATATTCTCCTCCTTCAAAAGTAATGTATGGTTTTCTCTAAGAACAAAGGTCTAAAATTAAAAAAAAAATATACTTCCACATCCTGGTTCTGCTGCTAAATACAGACATTTTTAATTTCAGAGAGAATTTATCCAGTTCTGTAAAACTTTGTACAGCATGTTCCACGAAGACCCAGAAGAAAACGATTTGTATCAAGCCATCGCCACGGTCACCACCCTGCTGCTGCAGATCGGGGAGGTGGGGCAGCGGAGCAGCAGCTCCGGGAGCTGCTCCCAGGAGTGCGGGGAAGAGCTGCAGGCTTCAGCGCCTTCTCCAGAGCAGGACTCAGTCTTTGTGGACACTGGGAAGAGTCCTCAGGACTCCCAGGCATTTCCTGAGGAGGCAGGAGGGGACTGGACTGTTTCCCTAGAACACATCTTAGCATCACTTCTGACTGAACAATCATTAGTAAACTTTTTTGAAAAGCCACTAGACATGAAATCCAAACTTGAAAATGCCAAGATCAATCAGTACAATCTCAAAACCTCTGAAATGAGCCGGCAACCACAGCCTGAAATGAAGCTGAGTGAGTAACTTGTAGCAAGACAGTAGTTGCTAGGTAACACTGGAGTCTGCCATACCAAAGCACGACCAGGCTGTTTCTTGGGTTGTCAGCCCATAAACCCAGATTTCAGTCTACTTTGAGTACACTTTACAAACCGGGTATCTGGATAAGCAACCTGACAAACTGTAGCTGAGGGAATCGACACAACCCTCATGCATTTTTATTTATTAAGAGAATTGCCAGTTGGACAATGCCAGTGCTGTAGGGTATCCATCGGTTCCCTTGATGCTGTGACTTGCATTTTTTCTTTTTTAAATCAGATTTGCTGAAATGGGCACTTGCACTGTGATGTCAGCCAGTATAATTTTACTCTCAGATGGAACACAAGTCATGTGTCTTATAACCAAGAGACAGGATAAGCCCCAAGCCCTCATTTTTCACTGGGAAGGACAATGGGAGGTCAAGAATCAAGCTCACTTTCAAGATCTATAGTCCACTATCTGTGCAATTGTATTTGGCTTTTTTTTTTTGCACTAATTTTTTGTTTCAATGCTGGTAATTGAAACCATTTTAATATATTTGGTTGTATCCACTTTGTATGTCCTTCAAAAATGTTGTGTACAAACCATGCTTCTAATGTTGGCCTCAAGTTTTTTAATAAAAAATTTTTGTATTTAGTCCTTTTACCTTGTGTCTTCAAGTGTAGACTATGCCAGTTAATGGACAAGTTTTGGACTCTACCCAGCCCATCTATGGCCTCAGTGTACAGTGCAATTTAAGATAATTACACTCAATACAGATGTAGGGAGAATCTTAAAGGTATACTACCTGTTATTTCATTAAATTGAAGATCTACAGATTATACCATTTTACAGTTTCCTACAATGTAGAAAAGTGGCCAATGGCAACTGAATTCTATGTCCCAGTTTCTGGACAAGTGTTTATCTTGGAATTAATGAACCATGCAAGTATAAAATCATTAACATCATGCTTCCAATTTCTCAAATACTTATAACAGTGGTTCTAAAAATTAACTTTAAAAACCTTAGATCCTGTCAAATAATCAAACACCAAGGGAGAAGGAGCACACAGGTAAAGTAAGAAAAGCTGTCCAAATGATCCCATAATTGGGAACTGTTTTAGGATATGCAAGCACATTATGTTGCAACCAGAAAAGGAAAACCAAAGCACGACAATGGTTTTTTAACTTTATTTGATATATCTGACAATCAGTGGTTAGTTCTCATCCACGTTGACTGTCTGTAGATCTGCAAAGGAAGTGAAGTGACAGTTTACTTCCATATTCACAACAACTTTCATTCTTTTTTTTTTTTTGGAGACAGATTCTCACTCTATTGCCTGAGGTAGAGTGCCGTGGCGTCAGCCTAGCTCACAGCAACCTCAAACTCCTGGGCTCAAACAATCCTCCTGCCTCAGCCTCCCGAGTAGCTGGGACTACAGGCATGTGCCACCATGCCCGGCTACTTTTTTCTAAAATTAGCTTTACACAGACTGAAAACACCAAGCATTTGGTCAAGTGAAGGCCATTCTAGGCGAGGCAGAAACCAAACATCCTAAAGGTGTCTCACCCCACTCCCAAGACTGGAAACTTCTGTCCTTTGCTCTACCTGTTCCAGCCTCCTTGCTATTTCTAGAACCATCAAACAAACTTGCTTCATTCATCAACAAATAACCATCTAGAAATAAAGGGTGTTAGAAATAACAGCAAAACAGACAAAATCTCATCCTTCATATAGCTTATGCATATTTTTAGTTGGCTAATTAATTTATTTCTATTTTTAGTAGAGACAGGGTCTTGCTCTTGCTCAGTCTGGTTTCAAACTCCTGACCTTGAGATCCTCCCAGAGAGCTAGGATTATGGGCGTGAGCCATGACGCCCGGCCCACATTTTGTTCTTGAACACTCCAAAAACCTTTTCTAGAAAGGTCTGTGTGTAGCAGTATTCCATTTTCCATGACCTTCTTACAACTCAGATATGGACCAGTTTATATATTTGTTTGCATCCTCCTACACCAACACACAATTTATAAAATGACAATGCCTGTCACTCCTATTTGCTGAACAGATGAATTCAGGTTGTAACAGAGCTAAGGATATTTTCTAATGTACTTTAAACAGCTGTGTGAGATGGAGAAGAACTTACTTTTGAAAGTGGTAACAGGTACATAGGTAACCAAAGTATAGAGCTTGTTTGGTGAATCTTCATCCTCATTACGTTTCCTGGACAACCGCACACGAATCCTGTATGGGACATTCCTAATAAAAATACAAAAGTGTTGGTGAAGTCAATGCTTCAAGAAAATAGCCAGCAGCTATATTCACACATCTGTACCCTGTTTCTAATGCTCTATCTTTTGCTCTAACCTGACCAATGAGGAACTTATTAGTTCCCTAGAAAATAAAACATACCCCCAGGTAGACATTAAATGCTGTCATCTCAGGATGCATGCCTGTTAAGACATGTTAAGGCGACCACCACTGATATTCCTAAGCAAAAATATAAGCCCAAATGTGCTAGTCTTTTGCCTCTACCATTGGAGAATTCTTGTATGGGATTTTTCTGTTCTATTTAAATTTGGAGAAACATCATTAAAAACTCTATAAGCTATACCGAACACAAAATACCATAGTTGATTGTATCTCCTTCCTTTATTGATCCTAGGCCGCGCTAGGTGTTAGTCTAGGCCCCAATTCCTATAAACCCAGGACTTGCCCTTGGCTCTCATGACACTACATCCTCCCTTATCACCCTAAGGCAGGCACTAAAGGTTCACCAGACACCTCTCCTCTGCCATACCCCTAAATGTCAGCCAACTACAAAGTTGAATCTCGGGTCCCTCTCCTGGTCATCTCACCCAACCCTAAGGTTTAAATATTACCCAGATGCCAACAGTCCCTGGAACCCCCATTTCACAGAATCAACTAGCCCACCCTATTGTCATTCTACTAGCTGGTGTCCCATCTGCTCTGGCACCTACAGTGTCCTTCACAGCATAAGCTTCCCTCTTCCCCTTCCCACTATAAAGCAGGGCTTCCCAACCTCAGCATTACTGACATTTGGACTCAGCAATTCTTTGATGGAGGAGCTGCACTATTCATTGTAAAATGTTTAATAATCCCTGTGCTGTAGCAACCCCCAGTAGTGACAACATCCTCATCTAGTGGTGGTCTAGTCACTTGTTCCACCACTACCCCGACCATCCTGCCCCCAGATCGCAAATTTGCTCTCTATGCAATGCTCTTTCCCACCCCATACTGCTGGAGTCTTCACTTGGGTCTCAGTGCACAGGTCACATTAAAGAGCTTCCCTGCAGATGCCAGCTCAACCCAAGTCACTATCATGATATTTTAAGGTCACATGCATTAATCAAATTACTGAACTTATATGGACTGTGCAGAGTGAGCTGGACAAGCTAGTGTCACTAAAAGTTCACCTTCAAACACAGATAACTTTAGTACCTTATTCCTTTGGCCCAGACAGCTTTGTTGAGCCTGGTATCGATGCGCACATCTGGAGTTCCCATCTCCTTCATGGCAAATTTCCGGATCTCTTTGAGTGCCCGAGGGGCACGCTTCTTGAAGCCCCTAAGATTCAAACATAAGTGAACAAATTATAATGACGCGAGCACAAATTTAAACAAAACATAAATAAGCCCTCACTTAATGCAATCAATCATAATCCATTTTCACTGGCATTCTTAGATCAAAACATAATCTGATTATATGTCATGTCTTCGGACATGTTTTTGAACAGATCATTCAGTGCAATAACCTGGTCTACACTTAAAAAGCAGGGGCCTGAAATGTGAAGGCAGATCTCTCAAGAAGTATGATAAGGACCTGAGTCAATTCTCTGGAGCTCTTGGCATGCATCAGGTACTATCGTAGGAACATTACAGGCACTCATTAAGTGATGTCTGTTCAAAACTGAGTTAGGTACCAGTAACCTTTTGTTCAACAGGAAGAAACACAGATTTACTTTAATTTTATGCTTTCAGTTAAATAAGAAACACAACAACACAGAACTTTACACAGACTGAAAAGGCCAAGCATTTGTTTAAGTGAAGGCCATTCCAAGTGAGGCAGAGACCAAAAATCCTAAAGGTATTTCACTCCACCCCCAAGACTGGAAACTTCTGTTCTTTGCTCTACCTGTTCCAGCCTCCTTGCTATTTCTAGAACCATCAAACTTGCTTCATTCACCAACAAATAACCATCTAGAAATAAAGGGTGCTAGAAACAACAGCAAAACAGACAAAATCTCATCCTTCAAAATAGCTTATGTAAGTGACCCATAGAGTTCATCAAATGGTATCAAGTTCTACAGAGAACAATAAACCATGGAAAAGAGACAGCATTACAGAAGAGGAGCACAAGTTTCAATAAGACGGCCAAGGTGCTATTGGACTTGGAAGTGTGACTGCAACAAACAGCCATTTAGTTAGCTGTGAGAAAAGCATTCAGGCAGAGGGAAAAAAAGTAAAAATCAGAAGGCAGAGCCCACAGCACTTGCTAAATTACCAATGAATAGTAAAGGCTACAAGAGAACAGGCTGGGGTGGATACAAACACCAGCAGTTTGGTCAAATTTGAGATGCTTATTCATACACACAAGTAGAGATGTCAAATAAGTTGAATACCTGTGAAGCTTTAAGATTGGCTGCTATTATGAAACATAGATAGAAAAGAGGGATTCCTCAATATTAACAGGGATGTGAGGAGACTGAAGAGCAGCTAGTGAAATAAAAACAACTCCATGGAGCTTAAGAATAAAGCGCTGCCATGACGAATGAACTGTCAAACAAGCAACCACTGAGAAATAACCCAAGGATGTGGTGCCACGAAGGTCCTTGTGACAAAGTTCAAAATGCCTAAAAATCTAGTCCACCCACACAGCTCACACCAACACTTCACAAACGTCCAATTATTTGTGTGGCTTTTAAAGCAGTAGACCTAGATTCCCTTCTACCCTGTGACTTTGCTTTCCACTTGGCATTTTTTTTCCCGTCTCATATCTTAACACTTGCCTACCATCCCCTGCTATTAAGTAAACAAGGAAGGTAGGGTCTTTGGTTCTCTGCCATATCTCCAGAGCTCAGGGCAGTGCCTGATACAGTTCCACCACTAATACACACAAAGGCAATGGACTTTAGACCCAGAAGTCATCTCAGAGACCCCAAATAAAACAACACACATAATGCTCCTTGGCTGACTCGGTAAATACTTGGCTGGGATGCTAGGCCCAATATGAATTTAATTTAAATGCCAGCAAAATTAGTGGTCCTGAAACTGCCCAGTCAAGTGCAAGAAATCCTGCCCACAGACTAAGGCCCGAACACAGTATTTCAGTGTGTAACATTTTGCTATTAAAAAAATCATTCCTCACATTTCTGTACACCAGAAATCCACAACATCCTTGTGTCCCCACTATATACTGCCCCACAACTCTTGTCTCTCTGTTGCGTTTTCACTTCTGGTATTATAAGTCAATCAGTATTATCTGTACATGTCTACGTGGGTCAGGCAAAGAAATGAATCCCATTTAAGTGTTTACATTTTAAGTAGGACACAGCTTTTTTTAGTTAACGTTCCTGCAATCTCTAAGGCCTGCTTTCCCTCACATACATCTTTTACCTTTTAGCCTGTCCATATTTAATGCAAATGCAGAAGCACTGAGTCAGTGATGTTCTCATTTTAGCATCACTAAGTTTCCAAAAACTTTACTCAAGCGCACGTTTCCATTCATTAACTTCAGAGCACTAACTTGAAACCCTGTAAACCTTAGGTAGGGTACGTGCAGTACATCTGCGATTTTGAAAAAGAAACGCGTAGTTTCCATACCACTTAGCCTAAAACGATTAATCAGACCTCTGAGAGCGACAACCACACGCGAGTTCGCAAGTCCCCGGCCCACTGCAGGGATACTCACACTCCATGGATGCGCTTGTGAATGTTGATGGTGTATTCTCGGGTCACCACTTCGTTGATAGCAGAACGGCCCTTCTTCTTCTCGCCACCCTTCTTTGCGGGAGCCATCTAAACGCAGGCAAAGAGGAGGTTCAGAGCAGAGAGGGCCAAGCCAAGTCCTCCCTCCCGCGCTCGACCCCACGCTGCCGCTCTCGGAGCGCCCAGGAGCCGAGAGTCCAAACACACCAAGCCCACAACCCCGTGGCCCATGCATCCGCGCCCCTCGGGTGCTCCCGACCCGGAAGCCCCTGCGGCCCCTGGTTCCCTAAGATTAGCCGTTCTCCCAGGCTCTGGGAGCCTTTAAACGGAGCGTGAATTCCCATTCCCTAGAACGCGAAGCTTCGGGACGTCTCGGGAGAGATCCCGCCGTCCCAGTCGGCACAACTCCGGAGGAGGATGGCGCTGGATTTCTGAAGCCGAGACCCTACGACCCATACTCACTCTGCCGGGCCCAAGTCAGAAAGGAGGAGCGCGAAGGATTGTGGGAGAAGGAAAGCAGAGGTCGCTAGTACAACTTCCGGGTCGCCTGTAGAGGCGGGAGGGGGCTGTGGCTAGGGAAAGGGAAGGCGGGGCTGTGACGTAAGCGCCGCGCGCCGCGGAGAGCGCGCGGGCTTCGGGGGCGGGACCTGAGTGGGCCTGCGGGGTGGGACCTGGGCGGGCCATGGCCGCACCTTCCTGCCCCGGGCTCGAGCCGGGCTCGAGTCCGGCTTCCAGGGAGACAGGCTCCAAACCCAGGCCTACAGCATGAGAGCAGGGCCAGGGAGAGAGGACGCTCTTTTGTTCTTATTCTTTCAACTAACATTTACTGAGCCTGTGTCAGGTGCCGTACCTGGCTGGCGGACCCAGGGGTAGCTGAGACACAGCCTCGCCCTGGAGGTGCTCCTGCCGAGCCTGGGGGACTCTTGCATGGGAACTTACTGTCCTGGGCGGTGGAGCCACAGGCCTGTCGTGTCGGTCCGGTGCATGGTGGGTCAGGGGTGCAGAAAGGAGGGGAGGCTTGCGCTGGGTCTGGCAGGGGATAACGGGGCAGAGGGTGCTGCACGTGAAAGGTCTGGAGCAGTGTGGCTGAGAGATCAGATAGTCTGTGGGAACTTACTTGCTCAAAAGTTTAAGTATTACCAGTGGTAAGAAGTCATTGAAACGTTTTTAAGAGGGCAGCACCACGATTAGATGTTTTAGAATTAATTTGGCTACACTGTAGAATAGCTTGGAAGTAGAGGGCAAGGTGGTGGCAAGGAGACCAAACACAAATGATGAGGGTCTGAACTAAGGCAGTGGGATTGGAAAGGAGCCACTGATTTTATAGATACAAGAAGGTTAAATCAAGAGGACTAGGACAGAGAAAGCCAGTGTAGGCTCTACATTTAAGAGGTGTGGGAGACAGAAGGTATAAGAAATTAGTAAAGTGTCATTAGAGCAGTAGGAAAAGAGTTACTTGAAAATATTCCCATATAAGCCAAGAGAAGCACAGCATGGTCAACAGGTACTAAATGCTATGGAGTTCAAGTAAGGCAAAAGCAGATGTACCCATTAGATTCTCCAACAGGAGATCGTCAGTGGTTTCACAGAAGTAATTTTACTACTGTAGCACTGGGGAGTGGGAGTGGCTGCTTCTAGCTATTCTATCCCTGGGGGCATAAAGACTAGAGGAAGAATACTGAGGGGGGACCTGGGGAAGCAGCAAGCTGTCTGGTTGGATGAGTGGATTAAATATGATGTAAGAGATGATGGGGAGCTTTGAGGAGGCCTCAGAATTGCATGTCATCGGTCTAGAGATTCTGAGAGTCCATTGGATCTGTGGATCTATGCCTTCCTTTTTCTTGACAAACTCCTTTATTTCCCAAGAGCATAGCATTTAATGGTTTCTTTTCTTTTCTTTTTTGAGACAGAGTCTCACTTTGTTGCCCAGGCTAGAGTGAGTGCCATGGCATCAGCCTACCTCACAGCAACCTCAATCTCCTGGGCTCAAGCAATCTTACTGCCTCAGCCTCCTGAGTAGCTGGGACTACAGGTATGCGCCACCATGCCTGGCTAATTTTTTGTATATATATATATTTTTTAGTTGGTCAATTAATTTCTATTTTTGGTAGAGAAGGGGTCTTGCTCAGGCTGGTTTCAAACTCCTGACCTGGAGCAATCCTCCCGCCTTGGAGTGCTAGGATTACAGGCTTGAGCCACCATGCCCAGTCCTAATGGTTTCTTAAGATGGAACCCCAGAGCTAAAGTTTTTGAGCTTTGAAGTGTCTGACACTATTTATTTAACCTTCAAGTTGAAATTCTGGCTTGTATGGAATTCTAGATTGAAAAGAATTTCTCCCCAGCATTTTGAAGACATTCTCTATTGTCTTCTTTCTGTGTGATTATTGAGAAGTCATGGGCCATTTTTTTGTGACATGTTTTCTCTCTGAAAGATTTTAGGATCTTCTCTTTCTCTCTCAAATTCTGAAGTTGCATGATGATGATACCTTGAATTCAAGGGCATGTCCTAGAACTGCTGAGCTTGATGTTCCAAGTTGAAAGGGCCTACTTAATGCCTGGCATTTAATGGGAAAATGCCCATATCAAGGCATGTCACCCCTAACATACTAACAGGGCTTTCAGCAATGGACGTGTTTCAGAATCTTACAGACAAGACTGGAGGCAGTTTCAGGACTGGAGCAGAGACTATGATCTTATTAGGAACCCAGGCCTTTGCATCCCATATCAGGATGGATACTGCACTCCTGGGTTTCCCAACTGTCCTCAAAGGCAGAAGGTGGGGATGAACAGGCAAGCTTTACCCCTCATGTCTCATCAGAATACAAAATCCTTTCTAGAAACCTCAAGGAGCTTTCTAGCTATCATTGGCTAAGATTGGACTCCCTTATAATCAGGCTGGGAGAACTCATACCTGCTCAAAACAGATGGGATTGTCATGATTACCATAGCCTAATGGCGGGTTGGGTTTCTTGGCCTGTGCTAGACACATTGCTGCTGCTCTGCACAAAATTGGGATTCTGTGAAGAGTGAAGAATTTGTTTCAACCCAATGACAGGTGCTCTGCTTTCCTCCTCCTCTTCCTCAAGCTCAGGCACTTGAAACCTGCCTCAGATTTTTCATACCTTATGGCCCATCTGGGATCATTGTTCTGATCCCGAGTCCCTGCCATTACTCTCTGAAAATGTGATCTTGCCCTTTCTAACTGGCTCCTAGCACTAGGGGGGAATTAAGGGACAGCTTTCTGGGGCACCATTCATTTATTACATTGCTATAATATGTCAGAAGTCTGGTGCCAGCTGACTCAAGCTGCCATACAACTGACAAAATATGAATAGATCTTACCTCTTGTTGAAGCAAATAGACCCCTCCGGTGGAAATCTACAAAACAGCTAAGATGTCAATTCTGCTGCCTTAATCAAAGGTTGAACAGACATACAATAAAGACTTTGATTTGAGGATTGAAAAATCACTAGCTTACCTGGAGCTCTCTGTGTTTCAGTACATCTCGGCAGGATTTTCCAGTTTCTTTTTCCCTCCCAAGCCCCAAGGACCAGGCCAGTGACTGCTGGGGTCCCCCAGAGACCAGAACCACTTAGTAGGAACTTCATGTGGTTTGTAATTCTCTGGTGTTTGTTACTTGTGCCAATTGCCTTTGTCTTTTTAGTGATTAAGAATCCTTAAAATGAACAAGATCTGAATGCTTGCCTGTAGGGGCAGCAAGAAACGAGTGGACAGGCTGCATTCCAGTCCTTACCAGCCTTGGGGGCAACAAACCCTAAGGGACTGGAGGGGTCCTCCTTGGCAGTTTCTTGCAGGGCTGTGCCCCAGGAAGTTCCAGTGGAACTTCCCAAGAAGAGCCACTGAAAGAGTTTTAAAAGGAAAAGCGCCAGGTAGTGAAAAGGAGATAAAGGGAGCCGTGTCTGGAGGTAGCGTGTGGACAGATCGGGGCCTGGGAGGTCAGTGAGGACACTGTTGCTGTGACCCAGCTAAAATGGGGCCTGGGTGAGGTGGCTGCTAGTGGGGCAGAGAGGAGAGGAATGGCACAGAGAAGTATATGAGATTAAAATCAATAATTCATAACTGACTTTATATGAAATGACAATTTAGCAGAAAGCCTTAGTAACAAAATCATGTTAGAGAGATAGAATATAATGCAATATATTATATCATAGAAATCAGTGTGATTTTATGACTCTGAAAGAAATGTTTTCAGCTCTATCACAACAGAATGACCCAATAACAGCCACAAAGGTAGCACTTGTATGAACACCAGATCTCCTTTTTTTTTTTTTTTTTAACTAAAAGGAGTCAGGGCCCCTTGGAGGATAGTTGAGTCCATGATTTGGGGCAGGGAAAAAAAAAAAAATCAAGATAGGCCTTGATCCTGTTTCTAGAAAGAAATCTGGAATCTGATTTTTGATTGCAATACCAGAATGACAAAGCAGTCCAATGCAGGAGCAAGCTCCCACTTGCCAAGTTGTGCCAATTTAAGCATAAATAAAATAGTAACAATGGTTAATTAGAAAAGTTGAGTTTATAAAAGGCCATGAGTTCATGATTTTATGCTTAAAGTTAAACATGAACTATAAAAACAGAGTACTTATAATTTAAAAAGGAGTTAATACAGTAGATACAACTAAGTGTGGTTATGCAAAAATCCTAAGTGAGATTTTGTTTCCAGTGAGCCTTCTTGCCCAGAAAAATAAAGCTGTTCATATGTATAGTATGAAGTTCATATGTGTCTGTTCAAAAAGCCACTAACATCGTTTCTCTGGAGAGTCCAAATTATTTATTTCTCTACGATATTAATGGCTGACTTTGAGATCTTCAGCCTGCACCTATGCAAAGATAGAAACTGAAGCAATCTTATACCACTCAAATTTTACCAGATAATTTAGATGAGTGCAAAATGTCATGGCTTAGAACTAATAGTTGGCCAATATACCACGTTACATGTATAAACAAAATTTTAAAATTAATTTAATGAACTTTAGTTATTAGAGACAGAAGACACTGCATTTTAACTGAGTGAGTTTAAAATATCATGAACTTGGTGTATTCCAGAGTTCATAGTTCAGTCACTTCTCATGAGCCAAAACTTTATAGTTTTCCAAATAGAAAGGTCATGGTTTTTTTGGAAATAGGACAGGGTTGCAACATAGCTTTTTAATGAGTGAAATTTAATGAATCAGAACCTTAGAGATTAAACCTATTATGGTGTGTGTTTAAAGAAATATTGCACAATAAGTTTTCTGAGTTTAGCCAAATTCTGAACATGTGTAAGATTTAAGCAAAGCTAAATTAAATTAGTAGCAAGGCACACTCCACCCTCTTTTAATGGTTTCCAGCTAGAAAATCCTAGGACAATAAATACGCTGTGTCCATTAAAAATCTTGTTCTATTTAGAAAGATTCTGACAGCAAATTAAAATAAAAATTAAATTCTCTTACAGAAAAATAAGATCTACAAACCTTTGATTTTATAAAACCTTAAATTAAAAACAAGTTAATCCAGTTTCACATGTAGTTTTTCTTTTAAAAAGGGGGTTCATTTCTGGTTCCTTTAAAGAGTAAACGTTCTAGTACATGCAAAATATTTTGACTTACCTTTTTTCAGGAATAGAACAATTGTGTAATACAACTCCTTTTGAATGTATTTATATAGCACCTCTCATACCATCCAAAACTGATCCTAGTTATTATAGCATTGACATGAGCTACTCCCGTTTTACAGGGCGGGGGGAAGCACAGAGCTGTATTATTGGAGAAGGGGAAGAAACTTAGCTTTCTTGAACCAGTGCTTCCCAAAAGGGCATTGCCATCTCAGTGGTTCTCAAACACAGTACACCAAGGTACCCTTGCGTCAATGTAATGAAATGTCATGTGTGAGTGGGATGTCTGTAGTTGGCAGAATCCTTCTAGATGCTGCTGTGTCCTCCCCCTACCCCAACATGGCACGCGTGTGCACACATCTTACACACACACGTGCCTCCCCACATCACTGAAATCTAAGTGTTGGCAGTGAGACCCCATGGAAACCAATGTGGATGAGTTTAATTATGAGCTATGAATGAATGCTTAGGTGGAGAAAGTCTTGGTCATCTCCACTCATTACCTATGTCAGGATTGAAATGTTCCCAGGAACTTTTTTCTGTTTTTGTTTTGCTGTCACTTCTACAGTAAGTAAACCACTGTTTTTCTGGCACAAACTTAAAGATCACGACCTAAGAGGCTGAGCTGATGCACGTAGCTCAAAAAACTTAGCACCGTCAACTAACTTATTTATTGCGTGTTTCTACCTTTTTCATATCTTCGATTATCCTTGAGACATTTTGAAATTTAAAAAAAAATGTTTACTGGTAGAAAAGGTGGTATGCGTGGAGGTATAACAAGGGACAGAGGAAATTGTACAAATTTGTTAATTTATTACAAAATTTCCACTCACAGAAAAACACAAGAAAACTTTTATACTTTTATATTTGGGAAAGGAACTGGTGTCTCAGATACAAAATAATTTACACATAATCCATACAATTTTATTTTATATAGAAATAGGTCATTATTACAACAGCTGTACAATTCACTGCGCTTCATCTTATAATTACATAAAATCTTTTCTTTAGAAACATCTCAACATAACAAAACATACAAAAAAAGCAAAGTGCATTTTGAAAAGGAAAATCCAATTCTCAGTATTCTCATGAAAGATATGTAGAAAGATGCAGCATTCTCACTCAAAGGGCCTGCACATGGCAGGGTTTCCTTGGGGACTGGCGCCCCCCAGGCCTGTCTGGCTTGTGAAAACTCTCCCCTCCTAAGTCTCAGAGTTCTCAACAGAATTCTGGAATGTCAGCTGGCATGATTGTGCTTTGCTTTGAGTCCACCTCTGTAGTTGCAATCAATGAAGTAAACAGGAAATAGTCCAGTGTTATATTTAGGGGGGGAAAAAAAATCACTGCCCATACAGCATGGGGTGAAAAGCCTCATCCCGTAGGGCTTAGGCCAGAGGGTGTGAATGTGTAGCTTGGTTAGTGACCAGCTTTTCTATCTGATTGGTGGGCTGTTTTTGTTACTGTGGTCCCCAAATGAAGTCATGAGACCTTATGATTTTTAAAAACGGAAAGTGCCTAAGTTATTTCCTCTGTGCAGCTGTGCAAATTAAAACAAAAACAACCATTTAAAAATAATGAAAAATAATCTCTTTATTCCCTCTCCAACAGATCTCTGACCCAATCCTTCTCCAATACAAAAGGAAAGACGATCAAGAGAGTGAAGGCCAGCTAGCGCGGACGGACGGGCCACCGTTGGCTAGAGTCACCAGTGCACTCTTGGGGACAGCGTGATGCGCCACCTCTGAAGGTACACGGAGTATCGATACCTGCACTGGCCACTTGGTTCCCATCCAGTATGGCTGTAGAGTGTGCCCGAGAACCTCGGAGGCAAGGGAAACACGGCCAGTATTCCTGATCGTTGTCCCCTGCGCCAGCCACTGCACTCCAGAGATGGTTACCACCCAGGAGTTTTGAAATGTACGCAGCGTGCACAAAAGCCAAGGGTTTAGTTCAGACTCCTGTCCCCATCTCCTGTGGCCACCCCCCCTTGTCCATTGGTTAAAGCTGATTGTGTCCCAACTTCAGTGCCAGGGGACTACCGGGGAGGCTGCTGTAGGCCTGACGACTCGGACAGACTGCTGACCCTTCTGGGAGGGCGCGGGGCTTGGGGTGGCGCTGGGGGTGGCGGGGGATAGCCCAGGGTCCCTGGCTGTTGTGAGAAGGTGGAGAGAAGCAGCGAGTCCTGCTGCTCACTGTGCAAAGAGGTTGGTGCCTGTACCTGGAAAGAAAAGAAAAAGGGCTCCAGAGGTGGTTCCAAGTCATCAGTCCCTCTGCTGCCTTACAGGGCTGGGGCGTGTGCTGCAGATCCGGTCGGACTATAGAACTCTCCTTCTTGAGGGGTCACGTGAGGAGAGGTGCCCAGGACCTTGGGCAGGGTGTGGATGGGGAAGAAAGGAACCTTAGGCTCTACCAGATGGGGGTGAATTCTGAAGCCAAATTCTCCACCAATACTGGGGGTTCCTTCTGGCCCAGTGGACCTGGGGCTGAGGCTTTAGAGAATGGTTTGTAAACATGTGCATGTGATCTACCCATAGCCAGAATGTCTTTTAGGTGACGGAACCTGAGACCACACGCAGATAAGCCATGGGGCAGAACGCAAACACACATCTGATCCGTACACTTTTCACTGCTGGTCCCTGATCCTGTAACTACCTCCAAATGCTGCTATTGGCCAGTACCTCCTAGGAACATCCTGATGTGAAGTTCAGAAGCTTCAGTTGGCCAAAGCCTTACGTTGGAAGCTTCAATCTTATTTCTCACTATTCCCTTCTGTGAACTCTCCCCTTCCAAGTAACCCAGTCTCCCCACCCTCGAGGCAGCCTGGGCACACTTGCCCTGCACTTTGCTCAGGCTATCTTGCTGGAACACTGTCCCTTTCTCTTCCCCCCTTCACCCACACCTTGTGCGTCTCCTGGATGTCCAGCTCTGCAGCAGGTGCCTCCTGAGCCCGCCCCCTCCCCCTCCATGATGGCTTCCCTGCCACGGGACCCCCCCTCTGCTCTAACCCGAGTGCTCACCCACCGCCCTACACCTCACCCCGAGTTCCCTGAGGGCAGCGAGCAGGCTGAAGAGCTCTTTGTATCCGTAGCCTGTGGCTCGCACACAAGTGCCCCCAAACGTGTTTGTTGCTACCACTGAAGAAATACTCGGGTGACCTCTCATACACGCCCCGCCACCCCTGCCTTCTCGCCTCATCATTTCCCATCCACAGTCACATCTGTGTCCTGGAAACTGAAAAGTCTGTCATAGTCACCAATGCCTGACTTTTGCTCTAAAAAAAAAAAAAAATCAAGATATAAAACCTTGATTAAAAACTTTTTAAAAATGGACCTTTTGAGCACACAACCATATGAGGCATAATAGCTGATTCTTAACTTCTCATACTACATAGATACAGACTTCATACACTGTAAGCATGAAAAGCATTCAAATAAGAATCTTTCTGGGGCTCACTTCTGTACCAGTGACAGAACCACCTTGAAAGCAAAGGAGGGGAAGGCCTTTCAGACCTGGGGTGTGGAGCTTGGCCCCGGCTCCCCAGCCCCCCGCAGGGCCGGGGTGCCCACCTGCAGGTAGTGCTGCGCTGGCGGCTGGGAGGCGGGGAAGCTGGGGTGCAGCACCGCCTGCCCTGTCAGCAGGATGGGCGTCGGGGCGCTGCTGCTGCTGCTGGCGGGGTGCACGTCCGGAGTCTGAAACACGGTCTGGCTCTGGGCATACCTGTTCGGTTTCACGTGGGAAGGAGAAAACAGATCCTCTTAAAGCAGTATTGGTATGACACCAAAAGCACAGGCAACAAAAAAAAGAATAAATCGGACTTAATCAAAAACTTCTGTGCATTCAAAGGATGCTATTAACAGAGAAAAAAGGCAACCCATTTTAACCATACTTAAAAATGGTTAAAATGGTAAAGTTTATGTTATTTATATTTCACCCCAATAAAAACTCTTTTAGAGATGTTGATGATAATGGTCCACTAACAAGGGGCAGAGAAAGGCCATTTAGGAAAGTCTGGAAGATTACGGATGAGGAACAGATGTTTGCAGACACTACAGAGAAGTCTGCTCTGCCTTGTATTTCTAGGGATGTTATCTCCCCATGTGGGGTTGTCTATAACAGGCACTGGGGGCTCCCAGCCTCCCCTGAAGAGGCCTGTGTGTGTGTGTAGACAGATCCTGACACACTTGGGCAGGAGCTGTTAGGTCATGTCTGGAAGAGACAGTAGGGGAAATGGGGTGGGTATGAATTATTGGTTTGACCGAAAATGGCAATTAGGGTTCCCAGAGGAAAATAGTTCCATATTTGCCTAGTTCATGGCATTTTAAACATCTCTGGAAAGTGATGCAATAATGATTTTTGTTTCCACTTATTTGGATCATTTGGGAAGAACAGGCAAAATCCAAAAGCAAAAGCAAAACCCTCTTCATCACTGATGGCATGGACCAAACTTTAAAGACGGCTTCCAGCAACGTGTGGTCCCCTTCTCATCCTCCTGTGACCAGAAAGTCTCTGGGGGCGAAGGCCACTGCCACGTGCAGTGTGTGCCCTCGGAGAACATAACATAACATAACCCCTTTAAAGCTCAGCCTCTTCATTGATAAAGACAGGAGCAAGCCCCTCTATCATAGAGTTTCTAATCAGGATAAAATGAAATAATGTGCACAGAGGCGACCGACCCCCAGAAAGGCTCAATGACCACCTGCTGTTCCTATCCGTACAGGCTGAAGGAGGGCACCGAAGGACTTCTAAGGGGGCCCAGGGCTGCCTGTGAGGCTTTTCCCTGAGGGCCGCCAGGCCTGAGCAGCCAGCACCGTCCCGGTGAACTCTGGACACAAATTAAAGCAGTGTTTATACAAAAGAGACGTCTCTGTGTTAGTTCTATTTCTGCCTCATTTCAAAGGGCTAGAAACTATTTTCCAGTAGCTTCTAAACCATTCACTCTGGTGTCATCAGTAACCTTTGTCCCTCGCAGTTAAGCAGCTGAGCCAAGCTGCTTGTGGTCCAGGGGTGTGGGGGAGGTGGGGATGGGGGTGGGTGTACAGCGGAGGAGAGACCCGGAAGTGGAAGAGGAGGCCGTGTGTCTGGGAGGGGCGGGCCGCATCTGCAGGGCTCAGGTCCACTGCACGGATTCGGATTGGGGTGCCTACAGAATGTCAGCTGGAGCTAGGGCTGGGGCTACACTTTCCAGGGCTGCCACCAGGAACGAAGGTTTCTAGACATGTCAAGAAGTCCCAAGATGATGGCAAACTAGGGGTATAATTAATTGCCTCGTTCAGGTCCTATTCTAAGCATGGGGTGCTGACTCTAAGTTTTACCTGCTTATGCAGGAAACAGTGGAAGAAAAGCTAAGAAGCAGGGTCCCCTTCAAGGCCATGGGCACACCCTGCTGCCACCTTTCGTGCAAGACTCACGGTGAGCACCGCTGGCCCAGGCGGATGCAACTTCGCCAGCCTGGGACCATTCAGGCGGCGCTCGGCCTCCTCCCTCCACCCCGGGCCACGTACTTGACTTGCCGTCCCGTCCTGCTGACCTCCGAGGGCTGCCTCCCGTCGCAGGACCCAGGCATCATGGGCTGGATGGGCTGACTCAGCAACAGCCTTGGAGCAGAGGGAGCGAGATGGGAAACGCTGGTCAGCACCAAGCTGCAGACCCACCGGCTGATGGCCGTGCTTGCGCAGCCTGGCTGGACCCTGCACGGTTGCCCCTAATCCCCACTTGCCCCCTCCACTCTCAGAGGATGGCTGGACCCTGCACGGTTGCCCCTAATCCCCACTTGCCCCCTCCACTCTCAGAGGACGGTGGATGCAGCAGTCACCTCTCCTGCCACTTCCTTAGCTGAGCTCCACTGTGGATGCTTTAGAGTCTGACTGCCAGCAGCAGAAAGGAGATCTGAACCAAACGGCGTGAAACCACGTCTTGGTTCTCCGGGAAACGAGGACAGTCTCCGTACCTGAGCTGCCGATCATGGCTGAAGTCCGGGCTGGGCTGGCACTGGTTGGCGTCCTGGGAGGTGGAGGCAGGTGTGGTGAGATTCAGACTGGGCGGGAGCACAGCAGCGGCACTGCTGAACTGCGACGCCAAGCTGCTCACGGAGCGGCCACCGCCCTGCAGCACCTGTGAGCTCCTCATTGGCTTTGGACCCTGAGAAAGGTAACACTTAGACTCAACTCAGTGTCATCTCTCCGGGAAACATCCCCAGCGGCTCCTCCTTCTACCCACCCGGGCCTTGCCCCTGAGGATCTACCAACTATAATAGTTATTGAATCATTTTGACCTTGTGACCGTCTTTCCCATTGGATTGTGTTTGAATCCCTTGGGCCTAGGACCGTGCCAGGCTCTCGGTAGGCAAGCCATAAATGTGCGCTGAACTGAACTACGTTCTGCTTCACAAATTCCACTCCAGACAAGTAGACCTACTGGCTGTTTCTTTAAGTCACCGTGCCTACTCCTGCCTCAGGGACTGCACATCTGCTGGCCCTTCTATGTCCCTTGATATCAATATACTCATGCCCTCAGGTCTTTGATCATATTATTGATATTGATATTATATTGATATTGATATTATTCAAGTGCCTACAGAATGTCAGCTGGAGCTAGGGCTAGGGCTATATTTTCCAGGGCTACCACCAGGGGCGACGGTTTTTAGACATGTCAAGAAGTCCCAAGATGATGGCATATTTGCATATTTGTACCCTCCAAATCTCATGTTGAAATCTGGTCCCCAGAGCTGGAGGCGGGGCCTGGTGGGAGGTGTTTGGGTCATGGGGCGGATCCCTCATGACCACTGGGTGCTGTTCTTGCTCCACTGCTTCCTTGGAGATGTGACTGTTAGAGAGAACCTAGCAGCTCCCCCTTCTCTCCTCTCTCGCCAGGTGATACACCTGCTCCCCCTTTGCCTTCTGCCAGGAGTGGAAGCTTCCTGAGATCTCACCAGAAGTAGATGCTGGCATCGTGCTTCTTGTCCAGCCTGCAGAACCGTGAGCCAAACAGACTCTTTTCTTTATAAATGGCCCAGCCTCAGGTGTTCCCTTCTAGCCACCAGAACAGACAAGACAATTCTCTTCTCTGAGAGGCTTCCTTGGCTACCTGTTTAAAACTCTGACTCATCCCGCCCTGGCCAGCATTCTCGCTCGCCATTTCAGTGTCATTTCTACTTGTTTGTTTCTCTTCCCTGCATGGAACAGAGATTCTTTTCTTCTTTGCCTTTTTGTTCACTGCTGTCCCTCTGTTGCTCAGAATTTGTGCTTGACATGCAGTGAACACTCAATAAATGTTTGTTGAGTACAATAATAAATGAATGAAGAAGTGGGCTTGAATTTGCTTTTGGTTTTCTGTCTGTTTCACTGTCCATTCACACAATGCTACCACAGTGCTTTAATTCTTAGAGCTTTTATAACATTTTTCAGTATCAGATGGTGTAAATCCTTCCTCAATTTTTCCATAATTCTTTTGGCCATTCTCACCTATTCATTTTTCTGATGACCTTTTGAATCAAAAGGCTACATTTTCACACAAAACCTTTACAACTGGATAAAGATGGACTAAACTGTCTTACACACGTACTTATCTACATTGTGCTGCACATTATCTATGTTCCCAGATTTCCTACAGGACTAGAAGCTCTTGAGGTTCAGGTTCATCTTTGTTCTCTGGGGTCTTGGTGAGTAACAGGGGCTCAGCAGACGTTTTCTGAAGCCACAAAGGCATACACCAGTGTGAGAAGCTTGAGGAAAGCCTGGTTTCCCATCTGTGATCTCCCAGAAGCAGGGGCTCAGCCCTTCTTAATTCCATTCAGTTCAAGTGCCATGTATCTACTGGCAACCCTGTTGCATTGGGAGTCACTAGTGGCTTATAATAAACTTAAAAGAAAAGGAAATGCCCACAAGGGTCTGGCAGGGGGGCTAGGGGCCCTGGTGAGCCTGGGGCAAGGCACAATGAACGGTGGTGGCTGCTCACGTGGATAGTGGCTAAAACCAGGAGTAGGTGAGGGGACTGCAGACATGTCAGCGTGTGCCTGGGATGTCTTCATCTACCTCCAACCCTACGTCAGCATCAAAGCTGAAAGTTTCAGCTGCACGGTATCTTTAAGGGCCAGAGCAAGGGACTAAGGTGAACATTAATAAACCGCAGAGGGAAGCCAATTCAACTTGGGGCTTCAAAGTGACTTTAAAAAAGAAAAGCTCACCACCGCAATCTACCCCCAGTCCACGGAGGAGCAGCACGGTAGGTTTCTAGCTCATGCAGGCTACAGGAATCAAGTACATCCTGGACTGCGAGAGCCTGTCTGCTCTAGTGGCAAGGACTGAATCTGGAGAAGGGCGCATTTACCTGGGTTGATATCACGCTCGATTCTCTGAGCAGGTGCTGGCTTGTGACCTGGGCAGAGGTGATCTGCCCTGGAAGTTGGGGGCCTGCCCCGAGCGGGGGATGGGTCACTGCAGCCGACCTTTGCTGTAGCTGCTGCTGAGCCTCGGGCCGCTGGGTGCTGCTGAAACTCAGGGATACAGCTGGCTGCTGCAAAAACATCTGGGAGCAGAACAGAAATGCCTGTAAGGTTGGGGCCACCTGGGCCCTCACAGATGTGCCTCTTTCTTGCATCCCCCATCCACAGCAACGGGTCAGCTTTCTTGCTCTGTCTGATCTTCCTGGAAACAATTCATTTATTCAACCGGGAGACCGAGCACCTGTGATGCTCCAAGCACAGGGCAAGCTGCTGGACATAAAGCGGTGGGCTGGAGAGATGCTGTCCCTGCCTTCATGAAGGTTACAGTTAAGTGACCAAGGTCTAACAGTGTGAAAGCCACTTAGATGATTTAGATGTTCTCTAAATCACTTGGTGTACTTGTTCAGAGTCTAGGTTGGCTTATCAGTTTCTTATCAGAAGGGATAAACATCTTGTGAATGGAATGAATAATGCAATCACGGTGGCAGGGGGCTGGCTAACCTGTGGCATGGGCTCTGTGCCTGGACTTGAATCTCTGACAAGTGACCCGTGTCTACACCAGCTGTTGGGAATCTTCAACCCAGTGAGCTCAGCTGAGATGGCAAATCTGCATCCATTAAATAGGTGACTGCATTCCCAGGCAGGCAAATAAGCAAGGAGATGATGGTGTGATATCAACTGCATATACTTTAAAGTTATGTTTCAGTTCTATAATCATTCTGATAATCTCTGTACATTTTATTATCTGAGACATTGCAGACATACATGAGGCTGTGATATATTAGCCTGGTGGTTTTAATTTGAAAGGTTTAAAAGAATTTGAGGAGTTTATAAAGAGTGCTTAAGTGTTTATTAGGATGCTAATTTAGTTCAAATAAGTTCCATGTATTTGATTTAAAACAGTTGATTAAGTGCTTAGGAAGCTTCTACTTCTTAGGTTTATAAGTCTGCCTTGTTAGGTACGTGAAATGTTTGAAAGATTCAGATGAATTTAATTTGTGAATTAATGGCTTTTGGTAGCTAATGTTGATTATTCACAAGCTGTTAAATTTATAAACTAATTGAACAGAAATAAAAAAAACCAGTGGAGCATTGCTCTATTTAGACCAAATTAATAGATATGCAAATAAAATAGGATCTGTAAGATGACTCTAAAGTCTTAAGAAAAACAATTGTAATTATTTTAATAATAATTTAACTAAAGACCTGAAACTACCTCTTTTAACAAGAGCCCCTCTTGGGCATTAAAAATATCAAATGACACTGTCTCTGTCACGACTCTCGACAGGCAACATTCCACTCCATCCCCGACCTTTAGCTTGTAGTCCTTCAGGAGGAAGGCTCTCTGCCTCCTGGAATCTGGCGTTTTTATCCCCAATTCCTGTACTCAGTGCAGTGCCACCTCACACACAGCACAAAACCGACACGCTGACATTTACTGAGTGGCAGAGCAGGTTCGGAGAGGCAGGTGCAGAGCCGTGACCTGCAGACGCGGGAGGGCACTTACGGATCAGTTAGTGCAAGCAGCTAATTCCCAGCTGGGACTGTGTCTGGTCTCATGCCCTTTGCAGCAGAACGCTTGACCTCCTCAATATCCCCTCATGCTCCCACCCCTGAAAGAGAAACCTGCAGTTTTCAAATGAGGGCTCCTTACTACTTTAGAGGTTAGGAAGAATTTTCTGGGTATCCGTCATCTTAAACCTTTGAGGATTAGTGTTTCATGCAATCCCTTGCTGCCTATTATAACATGGCTTGTTACAGCACACAAGGTAACCTCTACTTCACTATGTCAGCAAAAACCTTATACTCAAACCCAACTGCCATACATTTTTCTGGTAGGATACAATTTATCTTTTGATTAGAGTTCAAATAAATGCAACCGTTATTGATGACAGGCAGTATAGTCTACCTTAAATCAGACATACCTTGAATTCCCACCCTACCATCTACTAACCTTGGGCAATTCTCATACCTTTTCAAAGCCTTAGTTTCTTCAGTAATAAAACAGCAACATTAAAAGCACATACTTCATAGGTGGTTAAATGAGACATGGTAAATATTGAATAACTGTTAGATAATATAATATTTAATATGAAAAAGGGAGCTTTTTGCTTCTTTGCCTCTTTGGGCATATAAAAACTATTTGATAAATGAACGAATGGAATAAATACATGTATGAATGAATAAACGAATGAAGCTTCTGCACAAAGAAAGGCAAACTATGTCTGCTGGTGTTAGGTATTAATAACAGACTGCTTGGTGCGCTACTCTGTTCCATCGATGTGCACTGTGCATGCTCTCAGTGTCTTATTTATCCCTGTGTCTCCACAGTGCTTAACCATGTGCCTCGTACATAGTGGGTGTCTTCCAGGTGAAAGGATGGAAGGATAGAAGAATGGATGGAAGAATGAATGAATGGATGAATGGATGGATAGATGAATGGACTGATGGATGGATGGAAGAATGAATGGATGGATGAATGGATGGATAGATGAATGGAAGAAGGAATGGATGGATGGGTGGGCAGAAGGATGGATGGAGGAAAACCCATTTGCCATTGCCACAGGTGTCCTTCTAGACACTCCTTAGAGTAGCCAGCAGAGGGCAGGCATGCTCTCAGAAAGAGGAAGAAGCTGCCTTCCCAACTCTCAACTCTCGGAGGGAGTTGGCAGAGCCTTTTGGAAGAACATCTCTCTCCAGTGTATCGCCCTCCATGATGCTATCTAGGTGCAAACGCCAACAGCCTTAGAGGACCTCTCCCTCATAACCCAACATTTTTTTGGAAAAAAAAAACCCAACGTACTTTCGCAAGCATCACGGGCACACAGAGCCTCAGTGAGAGTTCTGAACCAATGAAGTAAAGTCTTGGGTGGGGGACTGACTCCTGGTTTGCTGCTGTGCACACTGTGCCTCTGTTTCATCAACAACAAAGGGGAATTTTATGGCTTAAGAAGATGGCTTCTTAAAAGGGCTCCGAGATCAGTTTTATAGAAAACATGCAAAAAAAAAAAAAAAAAAGCCCCCAATTTAAGTAGGAAAAGTTATCAGAGAAAAAAAAAAAACAAAAACCTTCTAATATTCAAGAACAAACCTGCCCTGTACTCAAATGTGATTTTTCATTATTCTTATCTGCTTACTTTTACAAGTATTTGTCATCACAGGACATTTCAGAAGGACACAGAGTGGAGAGAGAAGATGACGGCAGTACACGTATGTCACAAGGCTTTAGCAATCACTGATTTGCCGTTCTCATTTCTTCCAGCCTCCCACTGCTGGGGGTGGGCTGGGGTAATCGCTTGCTTATTCCCTACACTTGAATCACACAGTTTGGTCTTTTTTCAACCAAAAAAAACCCCTCCAAATATCACATTTTGGTTATGCATTTTGGAACATATTAATATTTCTTTAAGTCTTGCAAAAATCCAAGAAGGCAGACTCCTTGGGGAAATGTCCTCTGCTTTGACTGTCTGTGGATTTCCACGTTCTCTGGAAAATTCCACTGCAAAGGAAAGACTGCAGGAATGAAAGCAGGAAGGGACACACGCTGCAGGCTAGATGCCCATGTCACCCGCAGACTCGGGTGCCCTGTGCACAGGTACTTGGGGGTTAAAAAAAACACATGGGTCATGAGGAGGAGAAAGAAGACTTCTTCATGACAGGGAGTGAAAGCAACAACCTTGTCGCCTGTTATTTAAAAAAAATTCAGCTTTCATGTTGAAAAGGCAGGAAGTAGAGAAGCCCAGGCACTGAGGAGGATGTTCATACGCCCACCTTGCTTTTAGCAGTTTCTGGCTCAACTTCCCCCTTCCTGTGAGTGTAAAAATTCCATTAAAGTAATTGGAGTCAGGCAAGTTCTGGGCTCCCAGTCAGGCCCTGGATCTGTGAGAAAAATATCACAGCTGGGAACGAATAAGTGAAAAGCGGCTTTTTACTTATTCTGGTAAAAGGTGGAATCATGCCTTGGTGACTCCATTTCTTTTCATGTAAATGCTGAGCCTTCTTCTCTCTTATCAACTTTGGGGTGTTGCTGAAGAGGTGGGGAGGGAGTGGCAGGAGGCTGTGGCTGGAGGTCAGAGTGGAGCCTGCACAACTCGCACAGGGCGTGCCTGGTGGCAGTGGGCAGGGGGACCTGTCCCAGCCATGGCCTCTGCACAGGGAGGAGCCAGCTCTGGCCCTGCAGAGGGCTGTGCAGGGGCAGGGAGGGGAGGGGTGGCTAGCGTCTGCAAAGCCACAGGAGCACCCCTGCCAGGCTGGGCAGAGCTGCTGGGAACCCAAGGAGACAGGATGACTGGAGGAGGCATCTTCCCATGTCCAACAGAACCCGCACTGCCCTGTGCTAGTCTCGGCGTGCATGGCTCACAGCACTGCTCCCCGCTGGAGCCCGCCTGTCCTGGGTGCTGCTGCGCTTCAGAAGCTGTGAGGCCAGGGGAGGGTCTGTGTGGACAGTGAGGGGGCAGGAGGGAGCAGCAGGGACAATGCTCTGGCCATGTCCCCAGGTTTTCTTTCTGCCTCCTTCTATCTCTCCTAAGGGGGCTGCAATGCTTAGGGCTCCTGGGCCAAACTCCCAGGTTAGCTAGAGTTGCAATGAAAGGCTGGGCCCAAATTATGCACGTCTGAAGACAAGCAGTCCTGCACTGATGTAAGTAAAACCTGGTAAAAATACTCCATCCTTGAAAGAGATCCAATATATAAAGTTTTTCCTCAAAGAAAAAAAAAAATCTCCCCAAACAATTCCAAGGGAATTTGGAATATGTGGGCGTTATTAGTGAGAGCTGCCAGAGCATGCAGAATGTCCCCACTGGCATGCCACAAAAGGGTGGCATGGAGGTGCTGGGCCCCAGCTCCCGCTGTGGTCTTCTCTGCACAGATATCATATTTCCCACGTCTCATTCGACTCTCGCGCTGGATGAGAAACAGAGAGCAGCGGCTTCCCTCGCCCTGTGCTGCCAGCCTGGCCGTGTGCTGTGAAAGCAAGTTGTGCCGGTGCCGGGCGCTAGCCCGGACTGAGGCTGGCATCCAGGCAGGCGATCCAAAGGCACGAGTGAAAATGCAGGTGAGGCAGTGACAGTGTGTGCCCACCAGAGTAGGGGGTGAGGGAAGAGGATGTCATGGGACTTTCACGTTTCCCTGGGGACGGGGATGAGGAGTCACTCCCTGTACTTTGCCCATGGAGGCTGCGATATGCTTCATAAGCATAGAGGGCTCGGGAAGGCAGTGCACGAGGCTTTGAGAGGCCCCACCTGCCCTGAAATGGGGGCTGGGGACCCATCCCAGAGTGGCAGGGAGGACAGACCGGCCTGGGAAGGGGCATCACCTGGACGTTGGAGTCCTGGACCAGGCAGAGCTGCTCCTGGATCTTGTGGAGCTCTTCCTGCTGCCACCGGATGCTGGCCTGCAGGACCCGCGTCCGCTGCTCCAGCTGGTCTCGGATGGTCTGGAACATGCTGAACTGTGCCGAAAACTTCAAGGTGGAGCCGAAAAACAGAACCAGAGGGGAGAGTTAGTTTAGCCTTGGCAGACAGATAGTGCTGTGGTTCTGACCATCCCAGCGCACTTCCGTTTTCTGTCGCCCAGCCACTCTGCCCAGTGCCGGGTGCTGGGCTGGGCAGTGAGCAGGGACAGCGGGTGAGGCCTGGGTGTCCTGGGGGGGGGGGTCCCGTGCACCAGCCTTTTTCAGGCTGGCTGTGACAGCAGGCCCATCTGAAACTATAGATCTGATTTACTGTGCTGCAGTCTGGGAGGGCCACAGAGTCGGGACGTGGTTCAGTAAGCAATGCTTACACACTCATATTCCAAATTTGGGTAGAAGAACGAATGGCTTTGGAGATGAATGTAAAAGCAGGGCACTCGAGAGTGCTTTTGTCCTCATCTAGGGCATGGCAGTGTGTGCGACGGCTTCGCAGGCATTGCTGGCGCCTATCATTGTCCTAAACCTGATCCCAGTGCTCTCCAAACTGGCCTGGGACGGTGAGGCCTTGTCACCCCCTTAGATTCCCCCTGGCTCACTTGCTGCCATGCCCGGCTCAGAAACCTGTGCAAAAAAGAACTAAGAAGCAGCAGAAAACAATCACCTAAAGTTTACCCGAGGGTCACCCTGGCAGAGGGGGACCCTGCACGAAGGATGCTCACTCCTGCTCTGCACAGGCACTGACTCTCCCCTTCCTGCAGGCCCTCAGTCCCTTCCTGGGACGGGGGCTGGCTTTAGGGAACTCCTGCAGGTGATCCCTGTCCCCTGTCCCCCGTCTACCTCAACAGAGTGCTCTGCTCACAGGAAACACACGGAGAGTTCGGGATCACAAGATGGGAGGGGGCCACACGCCCTGGGCTCGCAGCCCCCGCTCTGGGCTCTGTGGGGCTCTCTGCAACTCCCATTTCTTGAGGCAAATGAGTTTGCTGGACTTGGACTTTTGTACCTTCTCTTTCTTTTTTTTATCCTTTTTACAATAACCTAATCTCCACTCCCTGGATCTCAATGCCAACATTCTCCCTAGTCTGTTTCCTGCACACTGTCTTTTGCAAATGCCTCTGGAGCCTCTCTCCCTCTGCCCTTTCACCTCCCGTACATGGAAAAGCAGGGGCTGGAGAAGGAGTCTGAGGTTGCTGTGAGCTAGGCTGACACCACGGCACTCTAGCCTGGACAAGAGAGTGAGACTGTGTCTCAAAAAAAAGGGAGAGACTGGAGAGTTGGGAATACAGATGGGATATACTGGATGATGGAGTAACTGATCACAGTTAAATAATAACAAAGAGGCCAGGTGTGGTGGCTCACGCCTGCAATCTCAGCACCTTGGAAGGCTGACGTGGGAGTGAGGATCACTTGAGGCCAGGAGTTCAAGACCAGCCTGGGAAACATAGTGAGACCCCTGTCTCTACAAAAGATAAAATAAAAAAAATTAACTATGAGTGCTGGTGCATGTCTGTAGTCCCAGCTACTGGGGAGGCTGAGGCAGGATGGCTTGAGTCCAGGAATTTGAGGCTGAGGCAGTGAGCTGTGATTGAGTTACTGCATGCTATCCTGGGCCACAGAGTGAGACCCTGTGTTAAAAAAAATAATACAATAAAAAGAAGAAATAAGAATAATGGCAGGTGCTGCCACTGTGGAGACCTCCACACAGGCAGCATAGGGACAAGAAGCCCATGTCATGCCAAGAGGCTCGAGGTCACACAGCCAGATGGGGGTAGGGCCCACATGTGAATCCTGAGTCTTAGTAGCTGGTGAGGCCAAGAGGCTTGGCCAGCAAGGCCCCACTTCCACCCTCCCACTCCCACCTCCGTCGGAGCAGCTTGGACATCAGACTTCCTTTAAAAGAAGGTTCTGCTGCTACACGAGAGTGCAAAAGTACCTGCGCTGTACTGGACTGTCTAGCAGAAATCTCAGGCGGAACATAGCTGATCAAAGCGCTCAGCTGGGATTTTGCGAGAATATGACTGAGAAAGCAAACAAGCTATATCGTACGTTTGATTTGACAAACAAAGTGCCAAAGCTTCTATGGTGGGTTCTGCAAAGTCAGGGAGCTCAGGGCCATGCCTTCCACCTGCAGTGGAGCCGGGCCTGGCTGCTGAGCTGCGGGGGGCTGGGTGGGGCGGGGTTGCTAGGGGTGAGTGAGCTCCTTCTTGCATCAGTCTTGTTTCTTCAAGGCCTCCCAGGTACCCAACTGTTAGTCCCTGGTTATCTTCTTGAATGTGGCCTTTCTGATAGACAGACCTTCTCTAACTTAGAGACATTCTAGAAACACAGTATGAAGCAAAAGAGGCTTTTTGAAAAATGGCCAGTTACACAGATAACCACTCCCCAGATGTGGGATTTTAGTTTCCCCTGAGTCCCTGACAGGTTGCTACAGTGGTGGCATCCCTGAGCAGAACAAGGAGAAATCGCAGAATCTCATCGTTTCACTCGGGGCGGGTACGAGAAGAACCATCCGACTTGAAAAGTCAGCATCATTCAGGAGTGTCTTACAGAATACGGCTATTGTTAAGTATAGTAGGTCTAACGGACTAAGGGCAGTTACTATTAAGTGAAGCTCAGTAAATGAAAAATTAGAATTCCCAAAGGGCCTTAATCACACCAGTATGGCTATAAACAGATATTCTTCACTATGCAAGATCCAGAAGTTAAAGGACTTCTCCTTTCATGTGCTTTTGGAATGAGAAAGTTACTAATTTCAAACTGAATATGCCTTAGAAATTTGGAGAGAAAAAAATTATTTTGATTTCTTTTTTTGGCCGAAGGAGATTGAATATAGATTATTTTAATTAGGAGACTCTGCATGAGTAGCTTTCACTCCTCAAGCCCAGCTCTAGCAGGAAGCATGTGCTAGCATGCGTCTTTCTTATTCCAGGGGAATATTAGTGACCCCCGCTAAGAGGGCGTATGTTGGGAAATAGTTTTCATCAGTGCTGAGAGATGTGCACCAAGACAGAGAAGGCCACACTCTGTCAAAGAGTCTGGTGAACTGCTTGCTGCCTGGGACCCAGGTCTAGCGTGTGGCAAGGGCCTGGGGCCGAGCCAAATAACCCCACGAGGGAACTGAAGTCAGAGCTCCGGCCTTGGCAAAGCACACGCCAATGCGCTCAGCTGCTCCCAGGGACCACAGACTGAGTGGCCCCTGTGTTGGGCCTCTCGCCCAGGCCGAGGCTTGTCAGGCGTGCTCGTAACTTCCTGCTAAAGCACATGCCAGGTCCCTCTCCCCTGCCATCCCCCTACTTCTTCACGTGGCCACCTCCTACCCATCCTTCTAGGGCCAACTCAAATGCCACCTCTTCTAGGAAGCCACGCCGGACGTGCCTAGGCAGAATATTTTATGACTGGTTCTATAAAAACACACGCCCTGCCCTGGGTGGCGTCTTTCTCTGTGCATATGCCATCTCTCTCTCTAACTCCCAGCACTAAACGCAAGGGCTGAGCGACATCTTTGCATCCCTAACACGTCGCTTGCTCGCTGACCCAAATAGTAACTCGCTGAATGTTGTTGAAGCAAGGAAAGAATTACTCAGCAAAGCCGTAATCCGCTCCCCCTCTTTCTTTTTCTTTTCTGAAAACAAATGTGATATTTATAGTATTGAACTCACAGCTTTTAAATCTTTTCAGAGTTTTCCTATGATATTTGGCCTAATTGAGGCCTTTTCTGAAACATGGCCAATTTGGAGTCATGAAAAAAATGAGAGCAACGTGGAAAAGTGGCAGAGAGATGAACAGAGGTTGTTAAAAGGACTGGCACAGACACTGGAGGAAAGAACGTGGAGGGTGTCTCAGGAGAGGACAAGGATGGCAGAAGAGGAGGGGTGCAGGATGAAGTGCATGGCTCACCATGCCCCGAGTGCACCTTGGGAGGAACAGGCCCCGAGACAGAGCCTCGGCTAGCACCTGCGTGTGTGACACACGTCAGCACAACACGCCCACGCGCTTCTGACTTGAGGAAGTGCTGCCCCCTCCCGAGTCCCGGGCTCACCTGTGCCATGGGAGCAGGCGGGCTCTGCAGGATGGTCTGGGGCAGCAGCTGCTGTGTGAGGTCACAGGTCGACGGGGAAGGCAGAGGAGCCTGGGGAAGAAAAAGGGGCCCCGTTAACCCTGCTTCTGGCCGCCCCAGGGGTGCGGGGATGCTCTTGCTTGGTTGGCCAGGTTGTCTGGCTTAAAGGAGGCCCTTCTGCACGAGGGTGAAGACTTCTAGAAGGCACAGGGAGCCGTTCCTGGCTGCACTGCCAGCATGTGCATGCGGTCAGAGCGGACACACAGCTGGTACCGGTGGCCTTTGAACCACGCGGGGTCCACGATTCCTCCCCACCACGGGGTGCTCTGCACGGCCGCTGCTACCTGCCCAAGCTGGTGGCTGCGCTCCACGCCCCTTCCCTGCCTCCTGTTCCAGACTCCAGCTGAGGTGGGTCTGGTTGCTCTTCTCCCTTCTCCCAAATGGATGAATTCCCAGCAGGGCCACCCCGCAGTGAGAATGGGGTGCACCCACAGCCAGGGTGGCTCCTGCATGCCCTTATCCTTTGTGCTTGCTGCTAACGGCGATGCGTGTCTGTGCCCATGAACTCATCCAGGCGGTGAGGACTGGGGCAGTTTCACCAGCCTCCGCCTGGAAGCTCTGGAGAGAGTCCGGGGAAGCCAGCGGAGTCACATCCTGGCTGCGTGATCCCTAGGGGCGGTGGCGGTGGGGAGAAGACCATGTGCATAGACAAGAAGAGAAACCCTCAGCGTCGTGGGCTACTGGAGTTTTTACAAGAAAAGTGGAAGGAACCTTCTGAAGTTATTCCCAAACTGCTCCAATCCTTAAAGGGCTATAAAGAGCAGCTCGGATGGAAAGTGTCACCCAGGACAGCATTGGCAGAAGAAGAAACAGGGGACTTTGTTCTGAGTGAGAATTCCCAGGCGTGGGGCTGACCAGAGCTGGCCCGGGCTGTCCTGTGTTTCCCTGAATGGCTGGGAGGAAATGGAAGAAGTCGGGCCACCACTGTGGCCACCGTCACCAGGTTGCACTGACAGGAAGAATTCTGGATGCAGGACAGTCCCAACTTACAAGTGCACCTCGAGGTGCCTATAGAGGGGGAAAGTAGTCCTGGTCATGTTCTATTGGGAAAAAAAAGTGTCACCCGTGCTCCTCAAGCAGGGTGTGCATAACCTTCACGGTGACGGCCAGAGGAAGGTGGCTCATTCACTCCATCTCACAGTGTCAATGAGGATGGTGGCAGGTGTCTGGCGACTATCTGGATGTAGCCCTTAAAATTCCTGGACATTTCTCCCAGCTAGGACTGGAGGTCTATGTCCCTCTCAATGGGTGATCTGTGATGGCTTTGACCCAGAGGTATGGCAGGGCTGACACTCTGTGACTTCCAAGGCTAAGTCACCAAAGGCCATACAGCCCCTGCCTGGCCCTCGTGGAATCCAGCTGCCACGCCAAGGGGCAGCCCAAGGCTTGGAGAGGCCCACACACGTCCACACTGGATGGCCTCGGCCAAGCCCCGCCTTCAGCAACCCCAGCCCGGGTGCCGGACATTCACATGCAGACACCATTTGGGATGTGGACTGTTTGGCCTGGGCCCACGAGGCCCCCAACACCAAGGGGCGCAGCAGAGCTGTCCTGACTGTGCCCTTTCTGAATTCCTGACCTAGACTCCATGGACAAGACAAATGATGGTTGCTTTATGCCTCTCAGTTACGTGTGGTTCGGACACGGCAATAGATGACCACAGCGTTGGACGTCAACGACTTCACATACAGTCCGTGTGTTTTCTAAGAGGCCAGTCGTTCCCTGACATTCTGGAAGGGTCTGGCACACAGCAGGGCCATTGGCTGATACATGCAGAGGTACATTTTTGTTGACATTAAGCTTCTCGAACATTTTCACTGGCATGAAATAGGATTCAAGATGGTAAAGGGGTCCTAACCATGTACCCTAGAGGCCCCAGGATGGCAGGTTTGTGTTTTATCTTTAAAATTCACTTGGATTCTGTACCCTGTGGATATACATCCATGTTAATTTTGTCATAAAAATGTTTAAAATTAGCTGCCAATTAAATTACTTAACTTCCCACCCCCATCTGCCACCCCACACTCTCAATCTTTAAGTAAAGCTGATTCTCCGGGAAGAGGCAGCAGGTTGCTCGTGCTTTGCAGCCCCCGCCACACTGTGGCGTACCCCTGTCGAGAAGTTTGGGGTCACACACATACCGGCATCGTGGCTGCCTGGCTGAGCCCGGGCATGGGTAACTCTTGGGGCAGGGTGGCCGATCTTGGCAAAGCCGGGGTGCTGGCCTCAGCCATCAGCTTGGTCGGAGTGGCTATAAGAAAGCAATGAGTTACCTTCCTGACTCGCACACACTTACCAGCTCTCCCATCCAAAGAGGGGGACGGTGACTAGGATGTGCACAGCACAGAGCTTCGCTGGAACCTCTGACGAAGGAAGCCCACCAGGGGTGGAGGTGCTTTATCTGAGCCACAAAACCCCAGCCTGGGAGCAGGGAGAAGACACCACAAACAATCCCGGGCCTTCATCGCCACCGCTTGGTCCAACCACCTGCCTGCTCAAACACCTTTCCAGAGCTACCTGATCTGTGTGCCCACTGCTTCATGTCTCTACTGGATGCTGTAATGGAGGTGCCAGAGTGTAGACAGGTGACCGGCAGGTGGGAAGTTAGTGGGAAAGGAAATGAGGGGTGTGAACGGCACAAGTTCTGTGTCGGAGGCATGGACTGCCCTGCGTCGACTCAGGCCCGGGGCCCTCGAGGGACTCTGTGCCCGCTGGCCTGGTGGGGAACCCCCATCCCACTCCCCATCCACGGAATTGCACTCACAGGTGGGTTCAGACGGGGCTGTGTGCGAGGACTTGTGGGAACTCCTTGAGGACGCCGACGGTGAATGGCTGGCGTTGACGGAGGTGCCCACGTCAAGTGGGTTAAAGTGCTGCTGAGGTTCCAGGCCTGAGCCCTTGTCCTGAAACAGGCACACACACCTGCATTTCAGCATCAGGATGATGTGAATGCATGGCGTGACTTTGGTTCTAAATGCATATTAATAGACACATTTGGAAGCCGTTGAGACACACAGCACAGCTACCTGGGGACAATTCCAAGCATACTTGGGCGGAGTCTACACACATACGTGCCATCTAGAAGTCACTGAGAGGAGTGTAGCCTGTCAGCAGTATTTATCACACTTTCTCACCTTTTATTTTGATTTTTGTAGATTTTTAACAACTGACTTTGCCTTTTACTATTTCCATAAAATTGTCACTCACCACTCAGCACCTCGGCTTTCCAAGAAGAGGGAAAAGTCAGGCTCTAGAAATGAGGCTGCTGTCGGCATTGGACTGTGAACTCATGCCATGGAGCAGACGCCTCTGTACCTTTCTGGGTCACTTCCCACATCGCCTCCCTTGCAGCCTCGGTGCCGCAGAGTGGAGGGTGTGCAAAGGGCCTATGGTTGCCTATCTTCCAACCTCTGGCTCCGACTGACCCTGGCTCCCGAGGTGTCTGTGCCTCAAATGCAGCATGATGACAAAGCAACTGTCACTGGTGGACCCTGAGGGATCATCTTTCCGTCCTCCATGGCTTAGAGGCCATAGGATATTTTTAAGGCAAAAAAGAAAATATGGTGTGACCACCCTCCTGAGCTTTCTCCTACCTCGTCTTAGAAGGATGGGAATTGCCAGTGTCCCCTGGGCTGCACTATGGCCCACAGTCTGGGGTTTGAAATTCTGTGCACGTGTGTCTAAGTGGCTCCAGGGAGGGTGGACACTGTGTGTGTGCAGACAGGTTAGGAGTGACTGACACGTGACCTACAGACCTCTGTGCTGCATAGAATGACCAGCTGTGTTTATATGTGCCGGGGTCAAGGTCATTGTGGGACTTGGCTGCTCAGTCAAGTCTCCCTCAGGCCAGGCCCCTCAGAGTGGGGTTCCTTGGCCACGGCTGTTGGCAAATTATTAATATATATTCCCAGTCAGCAGGGAAACAAGCCTAGCAAGTATAAGTGATAAGAAACTTCTGTAGCCACTGACATCTCTGCACATCACACTTGTGCATGGGAACCTGCACTTTACAAACACAGTCGGTGACAGATCTGGAACTAAAAAGACAAACTGGTATACCACCATAGGAGCTTTGACTGTAAAGGGGTTTCTTAACCCGGCACCCAAGACTGTATTTGTGTGCTCACACACACGTGTTTCTATGGGAAGATGCTCTGCAGGGCTCAGGACTCCCCGAGGATCAGGAGCCTCAGTGATGAATTTCTGATGGATGATATGCTTTACGCCCGTTCTTCAGCCGTGATGTATGGCATGTCCAACACCTGCCTATTAACAGCTTAATTCCGTCCTCTGACATGATACATGATGTATTAGGTGGCAGAGCTGGGTAATAAACACTTCCATAAACAACGACAGCTGTGTCCTATCAGTGTGCTTGGTGATGAATCACCATATAATGTCCCACCGTGTTGCACGCCAGCCGGGGAGGCTCTGCAAAGACACCGCTGCTCTCTGATCTCTCCTTCCTCCCAGTGTGGTCCTCAGGGGCTGAGAGATGCTTTTGTTTGACCACAGACAGGCTAAGGCTGAACCACTGCTGCTAGACCAGCCGGTGGTCCAAGACTCTGGATTCTAGCTCCCTGGACACCCTGGAACTTGAACTTCATTAATTCTAAGGGGCAGCCCCCTCTCATTTGAACATATCTGCAACTGAGATGTGTCCCTCTACTGATGAAAAGAAATCCTTATTTCACGAATCAATTGGCAGCATTTTCTTTCTTAGTGGGAGATAAAAATCATGGTGGAGCTTCCAGTCGACAGCTTCTTAGCTATGATGAACGACAACAACACTTCCTCCTTTTCTTGTTTTCTCCTTTTTTTTTTTCCCCTCCCAACATCTGTGTCTGCTTTAAGAACGAGCTCTGAGGAATAGGGCTCTGGTCTACTTGCAGATGGTCGCCAAGGTTGTCTCGTGTTGTCTGACAAACCAGGGGAAGCCTGGGCGGGCAGAGGGGACCCGAGGGCTCAGGGCAGGGAAGGAAGGGGGTAATGGGCTTTGTGTCTCTTCACAGTAGTGCCCCCCAACACACAGCTGGCTCCAAGACCCCGGTCACCCAATAGAAAGTGCACCTTCCTGGGGACACGGAGAGCGTGTCGGGCATTCTCTGCCCACAGGGTGCCTGAGTCTCAGAGGCAGTGCCGTGGCCCTGAGGCTAAGGCCGGGAATCATTCCACGCCTCAGCAGGTGTTGGAATAACTCCCAGCTCTGTGTCTGCGGGGGAGGGAGATGCAAAGTGGACTTACTGTATCATCCTTGTAAAACTGCAAAGCTGCCGGACGGACGATGCTTTGAGTCCCAAGGCTGTTTCTAACCCAGCTCTGAGAGTTCTAGCTCTGGGGTGCACTTGGGTGCGTAGCTAACTCCTCTGTATTAGCTACGCCTCCTCTGAAGAACGAGGACAATGACAGTGCCCGCCTCACAGGACTGTCGTGAGGGGCAGATAAGCAGATGCTCAAGAAACACTCTGAACCCCACGGGGGCGGAACGAGAGCTCAGTCCACAGAACCTGCTCTGGGTGTCTCATTACTGTTTTCAGTGTGACTGCTCTGGGGAGGTTCTAGCCAGCCAGTGTGTGCCTTTATCCTCCTGGTGGGGTGCGGGGTGGGAGCACATCCCTACCTTTAGTGCTGAGGGGTGGATGGCCTCGGACGGCGGGTCTTCCAACGCCAGCTCCTGCCTCCTCTCCACCCGGACGTCCGCGTAACTGCTCAGAGAATTAAGAGGCCACAGTGGAGGAGGGACATTCCAGGTGACAATGCCAGAACAAGCTTCGAGAAACATCGAGGTTCTCTGCATAACACCCACCCCAGGACAGTCGGCAGAGAGGAGCCCGGTCTCTTACTCGTCTGAATGAGTTTCATTCCCTGCCTAAATTCCACCGGAGGGATTTCTAATATTACATTCAACATATTTTTTATTTCCAGGATGTTTTTATTCCTCTCTCCTTTCCTATTCTTTCTACTCCTCTGAAATCTCCAATTGTAATGTCTTTAAAAACACATTTTCGTCTCCGGGATGAGCTTCCGCCTTTAAATAATTAGAAAAGCCTTTCTTAAAACCTGCTCAGTCTGGACTGTGCATATGGAAGAGTGACACAAAACTTTGTAGTAATTACATTTCTCAGAAAGTTTCCTCTCAGGCGAGCCCAGAACCAGCCAGGCTCAGACCACTGATGAGCCTACACAAGCCCACGTTTTCAACAGCGTGGGTAAATCTACTCAATGCGGTGACCCGCTATGCCCATGCCCTGTTTGTGCAGGGAGGGCTCGGGAATGACATAGCTCTTGGGCCTCCGGAATGCTTGTCACCTTATTTATTTTTTTTTTTTTTTGAGACAGAGTCTCGCTTTGTTGCCCAGGCTAGAGTGAGTGCTGTGGCATCAGCCTAGCTCACAGCAACCTCAAACTCCTGGGCTCAAGAAATCCTACTGCCTCAGCCTCCCGAGTAGCTGGGACTACAGCCATGTGCCACCATGCCCGGCTAATTTTTTCTATATATATTAGTTGGCCAATTAATTTCTTTCTATTTATAGTAGAGACGGGGTCTCGCTCTTGCTCAGGCTGGTTTCGAACTCCTGACCTCGAGCAATCCGCCGCCTCAGCCTCCCTGAGTGCTAAGATCACAGGCGTGAGCCACCGCGCCCAGCCCCTTGTCATCTTATTTATTCTCTCTGTCCCCTCCCGCCTTTCTCTGAGAGTTTCTTTCTAGGATTTGGGAGGTGGAAGATGGAGGAGAAGAGCCGGGGAGGGTGGAGACTGAGGAAGGAGGTGTGGTCGATATTGGACTTCCCTGGGGTGAAGGGTACCCTGACAGAGCCCAGCCGGCCGGTGGCAGTGAGACAGTGACACTTAATCTCTGCTCTGAAGGGTGAATAGTCATGAATTAGGCGAGTGGAGGTGGAAATGTGGACCTCAGAGCATGGCCACAGACTCTGTCCCAGACCACTGGCTGCGTCAAGTCCTTCAGCGTGGGCAGCAGTGGTTGAAACGGGACCACGGCCGCTGGCCGAGGAAAACCAGCATTTCTCCTGTCCCGAATACTAAAGAAGAGGGACTGACTTGATGACTGCATGTCTGTATGGGGCTGTGTGCAGTAACTGTCTGTCCACATCGGTCTGTTATGTACGCACACAGTCATGCGCTATATAATGACATCTCAGTCCTGCACAACAGTGGTCCCATAAGATCACAACACTGTGTTTTACTGCAGCTTTTCTGTGTTTTCAGATACGTTTAGATCTACAAATCCTTACCACTGTGTCTCAACTGCCTATGGTACTGAGTGCAGTACCAGGCCGTACGGGTTTGCAGCCCGGCAACAACAGGCTATACTAGGAGTGTGGTGGACCGTACCATCTAGGTGTGTGTATGTACACTCCATGGTGTGTGCACAATGACGAAATCAAGTGACACTGATTGCAAAGATGAAATGCCATCCCTCAAACCTTCCTTTCTTTGCTCTTTCTCAAAGGCTCTTCTCTAGACCAGCTTAAAACTGACTTATGTTATTAAAGTTTCTGTAGTGGGGCAGAGAGGAAGACTTTTCTCCTCCACCTCCGGGCCGTGGCCCGGCAAGGCTGGGTCTATGAGACGCTGGCCGTGCTGCTCACCTGCCCTGGGCTGAGGCTCCCTGAGGCCACCAAGGACCAGGGGGCACCCGCTGCCACCAGCAGCCCGGCTGTTTTTCCCAGCACTGCCTCAGTTGCCAGCAGGGGTTTTTAAAGCATTAAAAATAAAGGGGAGTGTGTGTTTGAGTTATTTAGAGGCGAAATTTAAATTTTCTTCTCAAAGCAGCAACAAGGGACGGCTGGGGGATGGATGGAGAAGAGGGAAAATATGCAAGTAGGTCAGTGAAGCAGTAACTTACTAAGCAATGCCCTGGCAGCCTGCGAGCGTCCGGGAGGCTTTCACAGGGGCCCGGCTGCACGCTTGAAAGCAGTCTCAGCCCCGGGCGGACAGGGCCGCGTGTACCTGGAGGGCAGCTGAGCTCCGGGAATTGTGCTGTTAAGTGTATGTTGAGGACAGTCCGGGCTTGATCCCCAGAAACTGGCAACACCCGAGGCAGCTGCTGCTCTGGCTCGGCCGGCAGGGGCCTCGGCACCCCTCCCACGCGCGGCAAGGATGCAGCCCGCACCTGCCGCCTGCCCACACGCACCTGACCACCGAGTGTGTGCACACGATGAACTCGGGCTTGGAGTTCCACTGGTGGTAGGTGATGTAGTAGTGAGTCTGCAGCCAGATCCACTGCTGGCCTTTGGTCAGGAACCGGTAGCAACACGACTTCCCTTTGCCAAACTGCATCACTGTTGGTAGGAAATGGATTGTACATCTAACAAATGTTAACACGAATGTCATCTTTTTTCTAACACAAGCGTTTAAAAAGACAATACCAACATGGCTTATTTCCCTGGTCACACTGTATTTTAAGGGACTGTCAGGATCGTGGTAAACTATAATGAATTCTTAAATGATAGAAGAGTGATTCACATATTTTCCCAAATGCTCAAAAGCATAAAAAGAAAATCTTCAAATAAAGGCAGATATGCAAAGACTTTCAAATTGGAGGTTTAATTAAAAAGAGGCCCAGGTTTTCCTGGTGTTCATCTTCCCACTGCAGGTGGAGCTGTTTTGGGGGCTGCAGGCACCGAGCCCAGGAGGGGGCACCCAGACACAGGGAGAACTGGACCCCGAATAGACCAGACCACCAGTGACCTCTGGACAGACTCTGTGGCTGTCAGAGGGCAGGTCATGTTGAGTCTACACAGGTCTCAAATACAGAGTCTGGTACGTTTGGCACCACTCCAGGCCTCCCTGGCCCCAGAGCTGCCTGGAGCCCCTTCAAGTTACATCTGGTGGTTCCTCGTGGGCATCTGGAACAAAACGGATGCTGACAGTGTGTTAGCCTGGACAGGGTAGAAAGCTGGGTCATGCATCTGAAGAAGAAGAACAATTTGGGAATTTGACACCTCTTTAGTCAAATGGTTAAGATCAATCTAACTCGGAAACTAAACCTAACAAAAGGAGCCACTGACTCTGCAGAGGAAAGATGCCCAGCAGAGCAAGGGTGTGGGCTCAAGAGAGCAAGAACATCTTTCTTGCCCAGCCACGGGGCGAGCCTTTCAAATGCTGGATGTAATTCTTCAACCCAAGTGGCTTTTCTCTGTTAGAAGAGTCAGAAGCAACGAAAGGTGTAAACCAGTCGTGATTCTCAAATTTTAACGTGCTCACGAGTCACTCGGGGATCTTGTTAAAATGCACACTGTGATTCAGCAGACCTGATTCTACCATGGGGGGAGAATTGGGAGGGGAGCTGAGATTCTGCAAGTCCAGCAGACTCCCCGGGGGTCCGATGCAGCTGGTCCTGGGATTGCACTCTAAGGATGGAGTTTTAAAAATGAGCCTAAAATTATAGCGGCCGATCCAGATGGAACTCAAGCCTGTTCTTCCTTCAACAAGAACAGCATGGAAGAGAAAGTTCCAATGGGTATCACAGACAAGGCATCTGTTAAAGTGCAATGTTAGTGGTCAATTCGTGTATCGGGATCCACAGGTCGATGTTACTACAAATGTTCCTGTTCAAAGCTAAAAGTTGGCACTGAAAATATGGCTTAATTTTGGCTCCTCTTGCTAAGTGAGAGATGGAACAAATGCGTAATTCTCACTGCCCTACTTTTATAAGTCCTAATCCCATGTTGGCCAATGTGTTCCCCTCTCCTGTGGCAGAGAGCCTTCCATGGCAGGTCCCAACAGCTGTGTGAGGGGCCTCCTGACCGCCCCAATATCCTGTGCACACCCCCGTCCTTGCACCGACAACATCCTACCAAGCCACCTATTTCTGGCTTTCCCAGCAGACCCTGCCCTGCAGGGCCGCAAGAAGATGTCCACCACCTTCACGTGCCTGCCAGGCCCAGCTCAGAATCTGGCCTGTCCTTGGTGACCAGTACATGTCTGCTGACAAAAGAACAGTCATGTCAATTCAGTATTTTGTCTTTGAAATGTACTGCATAACTTAAACAAACAAAAATTCCTGGCATTGTCTTATATCTTAATTAGGATTAAATAGTGTGCCTATCTGGGTGATACCCGGAAGGTGCTGGGGTTTGGGGCAAAGTCAATTCTGGGTTAAGCCACAACATGAGGGTAAATGCAGACAAGGGCCTAAAAGATGTCTCCAGATCTTTTAGGCAGAGAAAACCAAGTTCCCCACCTCAAAGACGAAGGAGGCAACGAGAAGAGTTCTGGAGGCCCAGAGCCCTACGGTCTGGCCCCCGGGGAGTGAGGGCATGGCCCCCACACCAGAGGTACTCACAGTGCTGGTGGCACCTGGCCAGGAGCTCCAGGTCATCGATGTGGTAGTAGTCATAGCCCGAGGTCCCCAGCACTTCGAAGGGCAGGTATCCTATGATTGGAGGGGCTCTGCACAAGGACCAGGGGCATTTGTCAGCGGACAGGACACACACGGCAGGGCTCACCATGGTGGCTGCACCTTTCAAGTGGGCAGGGTACGGTCTGCACGTTTAATGATCAACATGGAGGCCTCACATTTCAAGGACGAGGGGAGGAAAATAACTTTGTAGCAGTCAAAACCAGGGAGGCTGTGTTTTCCGAAGGCTCAACTCTTTTTCTGGCAGCAAGATAGTGCCTTCCCTTGGGATAACCCAGCCCAAATAATAATAAACTTTATTACTACTGGATAATGAAAAGCAGCGATAGATCGGGTCGGTCCAACACCAAAGTGCAATAAAAAATTAAAGGGCGGGGAGAGGAGATCTTTAGTTCTTAAACTGTGAATAATGTTACAAAACAAAGAATAAAAATTGGGCTACAGGATCAAAGGGTGTTGAAAGAAAAAAGATGAGAGGTTTCTCTGACATCTGCTCCTGCCTTACTGGGGGCTGGGAGAGCCCGGAGCAGGGACTAGTCCAAAGATGCCTCCAGACTAAGGCATCCGGCCCACGCACAGAGCGTTTTCACACACGGGGCACATGCAGTCAAAGGGCCACCACCTCCCCCCTGGCTGGGGACGACCTTCCTGGTGCCAGAGGACCCTTCTCCTTCTACAGACCAGGCCTGACTTTCTCTCCCAAGGAGAGCCTGGCTCCTTCAAACAACACTTGAGAAGGACCCAACCCAAATATGTTTTTCTTTTCACAAACCTGTGATCCAGAAATAAAAATTTCCATTCCAAGCTATGCCTTGAAGTGAATTCCTCTAAAGGTTCGTCAACTATGCACATTTCCTGTATTGGAAGGGAAGAAAAAAAGAAAGAAAGAAAAAAAAAAAAACGTTGCTTGGGGTGCCAGATGCTCACCCTGGGTTTGTTCAGAAGGAACGCATGGTGGGTAACAGAAGTTAAAATTGTTTCGAGCAAGTCTCCAAGTCATGTTGGACTGAAACTCATCATCTGTAGCTAATTTCGGTATTAGCCGATACTAAATTTATTTCACAAGCTGGGGAAAAAATACCCAGGAGCCAAAATGTCACACCAGCCCTTCCCATTATCGAGAAGTGTGGTAAACATGTGGCGAATCGCTTTTCATCTGAATTTGAATTACTCATTTAACTCAACGTGCACGCCATGGATGTTAAGGCCATCACGGATGAGAAAATACACACAGACCCTTGACTTTCGGACACCGGCTCTCACCCCTTCCTGCCCTGAGTGGCGGCGACGCTGGCGTGAGAGGTGGGAAGATCTACAGAGTCATCAAACGGCATCTCTGCGGGCTGACTAGCAACTGATGTCCCCGTCAAACAAAACAGCTTGCGGGAAACCGGGTAGGGGAAGGGCACGTGTGCAGACAGACACCAGACATTTTAGGTTTTCAAAGCTGGTGACAACCTCACCGTGATTTTACCCTCTCCCATAAAGGCAATTAATTCCACATCCCCAAATGTGACTCAATCGTAACAGCTCCCTGCAAAGAACCGTCTCTCATCAAAGGTACTTGCCTTTAAGAACTGCGGTGTTGCCAGGCGCACGGTGGCGATGAAGCAGACCTCCTTTCCTGGCGGCACCCGGCAAGGTCTCGAAAGGGTGCTGTCGAAGCCGTTACAGGAGGGGCTAGGCACTGAGGGGTGGGGGAGAAGAGGGCACACAGGTTAGCCCCACCTGGTGACAGCAGCCAACCCCTACCTGGAACTTACTGTAAGCCAAGCACTGCGCCCGGGGCTTTAGGCACAGTATGTTACCTCATTTCCTTCTTACAACAATCAGATGAGGTAGGTACTACTATTAGACCCATTGCACAGATGAGAAAACTGAGGCACAGAGTGAAGGAACTTGCACGCAGCCAAACAGCTTGCTGGAGCCAGAGCTAGGACTCGAGTTCACGCTGGGAACTGATACACTGCACCGCCTGTAACTTCCACAGCTCATTGTGCTGCAAAATGAGAAGACAGCCTCGTTCTGCATTAAGGGTCCAAATACTCCAGCCAGTGTTTTAAGGGTGAGTTTCACAATCAGACAGTGTTTCTGATACCGATGGTCCCAGGGAAGGCTGGGGCATACACTGATCCCCACGTCCCTGCCCTTGGCTCGGCACGCCTGGGACTCAAGGGCTTCTGCCCTGGAAGGCCCCCCTGGGAGCCCAGGCGGATGTGGAGGCTGGGTCTGGACCACTGAGGGGATGGGCTCAGGACCTAGGGCCATCCTCAGGGGTTTACAGTGTCTACAACAAAACTCACTAGTTCCGCAGTCCTGCACAGGTGACAAAACCTGTTCCGTTGCCTTATGTATTCTTGCCAGTCCGGGAGGGCACTACTGCCCTCATTTTACAGATAAGGAAACTGAGGCCCAGAATCTATAATTCACCAAGGTCACTCAGAGTAGAAATAACAGAGCAGGGAAGACACCAGGGTCTTTGGACTCCAAGTCCCAACAGGGAAGAGGGGGTCTGTTCTAGGTTCACACCCACCACGGTGCTGGTGCCGGTGCTGAGGCCACCCCTCTGGTGGCACCTGCAGAGTCTTCCCTGTGAGATGAGGCTGCAGACCTGCCTTCAGGATGACCGTGAGAACTGACTGACCTTTTAGGCCAGAGAAAAATTCAGCTATACTTTGCTAAGTGGGAGGAAGAACCCTGCCAAGTATGAGAAAGGCTAACTTACCAAGCACAGAATTCTCAAAGTGGGCTATATACAGGATTCCCCTGGGACCGTGGGCACGGCTGCTGGGCCCCACCCAGGTCAGCTAATCAGAAACTCAAGGTTCGTGAAGCCCGGGCATCGGCACTTTCCGAAGCTCCACAGGTTTATCAACGTGCAGCCAGGGTTGAGGAGCCCCATGGTAGATAATCCACAATACTTTTTCTTTTAAAATGGAGTTGGTTATTTCCTGCACATTCTGCACTTAAACATCCTTATGTTTTCCAATTTAACTAAGAATATATAGAGCATCAGAAAACTAAATGCATTATAAAATGAAATCTGTAAGGTTTTCTTTGGATTTTAGCTTTCCAGTCATTTTTTTTTTGTTTTATATATTTATAGGTTTCTAAGTGATTCTATCATGTGGTCCTCTCTCCACTAACATGAATAGATTCATTTTGCCAAACATATTCTCTGAATTCATTCACATAAATACTAATGTTTCCAAACATGAATATAAAGTGGGCAAAAATGGAAAATAGTGGTCTCTGGAGAGTTTACATCTGTCATGAGTTGGCTCAGACTATTGCAGATCAATCTGTAGGGTGAGCCAAGAAACTTATCAAAGGGAAGAAAAACAATTCCACATGAGGGAAGAGTGTGCAGATGTGAACATCTGCATAATGATAATAAAAAAGACATTTAAAATTTTCCCAGATGTGAAATACTTTCTCTGCTTGAATCTGGGAGACATTACCCAGCCAGATAATGACCTAATAAAATTCTCTTGACTCTTTTAGAATACCAAGACCTTCCAAGCAAACTTCCGAGAACTCCCCAGGAATTTAAGAGAAAGCCCCCTTAGTCTACCTCTGAATGATGTGCCTCGTTTGAACGATCCTTTAAGCTATTAAATTCACGTGCTCCCTCAGTGAGTGCCCTCCTCCTGATTCAGCGTGAGGAGGTGACAAGGACAGAAAAAGATCATGCGGTGGGAAACACCTACCCCTTGTTACTTCAAGGGTGGCAGAGACTCAGACTGTGGACAGTAAGTGGGTGCTCTGCAGAGCCTGCTATTGGCCTGGCTCCTTCCAGGGTAGCTTTATCTGTTCTTATAACTTCCAAGGCTTTAAAGATGAAAATGCACCCCAAAAAGGGAAGTTTCATAATTGCTTGTAGCCTGCACGTGATAAGCCAGATATTTTATAGATGGGCCCAGAAATGAGTGACTTCAGTGCTCAATAAGCTTTTCTTATCAAAAACTTTAACTGAGGGCTTGATCAGGGTGATAGTATCTAAATCTAAATTTAGTATCTAAATCAAGGATGAACGTTTTAATAGAGGCCAAGGAGGAACCCTTGAGGGAAAACCAAGTGGAAAAAGACAATTTAAACATTTTGCCAACTGCACTTGCAATGACTTTTATGCACAGCATGCCTTCTTGCATATTCTAGAGTCAACGCAGGAGCAAACTGCTCCCTTGGACTTCATAGTCATATTTAGCACTTAGAATAACTTCTCTGGCACTTTGTATCCCAAGGTAGTTTGAAGACATTAATTAAGGATTCAATTAGTTGTTTCAATTTAAGTAATAGAAAGAATATATCTAATTACAACTGGCTTCCTGAGCCTCTCAGAAGGATTAACTACTATACGCAGGCACAGCCCTGTTTTCTCAGATCTCTGACCACTCATGATATAGAAAAAAGCTGCAGTTTCTCCCCTAGAGTCATTTACTCAAAATTGACCTGACTCTTGCCAAGAGCTAAAGACAGAGGCTTTCCCATGGCAGGGACTGGGTCCTGTTCTCTGTCTCCTGCTCTGAGCAGGTGTCCTGCACACAGCAGGTACTCAGCAGGTGTTTATTGGATGAATCTCGCGAGAGACGACTTTCCATCTCACATCCGAACCATAGCCTAAGGCCCAGGTCAGGAAGAGAACATCTCATCCTTGCCACTAACTAGTGCACAGGCTTCGGGACCTGGGGATGGCTTCCTCTCTGCTCTGCAGTGCAACCTGCCCTAGTGCTGCAGGTGGCCCGTCTACTCTGCCAGCTGTGGGAGGTGCCTGCAGCACAGGGTTCTGGGCTCCGCTGGCAGCAGGCGAGCTCACTGCCCTACTGAAGCATAGCACTGGCCGGCAGCCGGCTGGGCAAGAACAGCGCTGCCAGTGAGCACATGGCAATACCCACTTCGTCATGGGAAACAGCACAAGTGCCCGTCGCGGGCTCCTGCTTGCAGAGATACGGGGCAGTGCTCTCTCTATGGTCTTCCTATTAAGACGGTCACAGGTTACCAAGTCCTGAATCTCTCATTACAGTCTCTCATTTCAGAGTTCCTGGACGAGTTTTGCCTTGGGCTGGCGTTCTTGGGATTCCCAAGGTTCTGTGGACACTCAGAATGACTAATGTCGGTGTTGGCTCCCAAGTCTGTCTGATGAGGAGATAAAGATGACCATAGGGGCAGTGAGATCTCAGGTGGTGGAGAACTTGCTTCACAAGGGCCCTGGACGGTGCGAGGAAGACATACAGATGCTAATAATGAACGTTACTTTAAGAGCAAAAGAACGGAAAAAAGCGGGGAGAGATGTATTGACTCTGTTCCACTTGGTTATCAGTCCAGTCGTCAGAACAATTAAGTATTCTCATCGGAGATGACCTGCTTATGATAAATGAGTTGCAATGGCTGCAGGAAAACACACTAATAGTCCATAAGGAAAGTGACAAATAGCTTTCTCGGCACTTCTTGCAACAAATGAAAAACAAAGCTGATAGATGTCTGGGAAGACGTGGAACAATCGATGATGGAGTTTTGCTCCAGGAAAAATAAAGCTCCTAAATCTCATTGTGATAAAACACTCTGAACGTTTTATCTATGGCTTTGGAATGTTGAAGGGAAGATAATTTTCTACACATTCATGAGAAATCATCTTCCACTAATTAAGCAGTATTTTCAGACTCTTGCAGTGTGCCTGACCCAAAGTGTTCCGAATATCCTGGAGACTAGGCTCTTAGCAGAGCAGTAGCAGCATAATCTTGCCCATCTCTTGGCCTGGGGTACTGCCTACCTTGCTTGTGTGATGCTTGTTGATTCTTTCCCTGCTGCCAGTTCTGCTTTGCACAGGAAAGAGCAATGTTGGAGAGAAAGTGAGAGCCATAGGAGAAAGTAGGGGGTTTGCAATTCACTGGATTGAAAAATTACTCTCAAGGGAAATTATGTCTTACTCAAATATTTCTTCTTTCTCCAGACATGCATTAAAGTGAGTATGTTTGGGGGCCAGAAGAGTGTAATGGCACTGAGAAGATATCAAGTAGATGGTTAGTGTGGACAGGGCCAAATTATTTGTATGCTCAGGGAATGAACTTCCCAAAGGTTCTCAACCCTGTCTTCCAAGTGGATATCTCATGAATATTTTTATCACAATTATGGGACAACTTGTACGAAAGTTCTCCCCACTCTCAGACTAAAACAAGCAGAAAGATGTGGTTGATAAATGTATGGCCATTCCTCATGGCTCCATTTTAGTACCAACCCTAGATGATTGTGCGGGATGATGCCCTTGGGTGACAATTTTTTTAAAAAATTTCAAAATATTAAGGGGGTACAAATGTTTTTGTTACATGGATACCTTGTATAATGCTTAAGTCAGGGCTTTTGGTGTGCCCATCACCAGAATACTGTTCACTGTATCCAATAGGTAAGTTTTTAATCCCTCACCACACCCCCTCCCGCCTTCTTGGTTTCTGATGTCCTTTATATCTCTTTGTGCTCATGCGTACCCATTGTTCAGCTCCCACTTATTAGTGAGAACATATGGTGTTTGGTTTTCCATTCTTGAGATACTTCAATCAGAACAATGCTCTCCAGTTCCATCCAGGTTGCTGCAAAAGACATTATTTCATTCCTTTTTACAGCTGAGTAGTACTCCATGGTACATACAAGGTCTGTCTGAAAAGCATCCAGCCATTGTTAATATAATGAGAA